AATCCTGCTGTCCCAGCTCCCCTAGTGCTGGGATTACAGGAGTGTGCCACCTTACCAAGCTCCTTGTTTTTTATTTTGAGACAGGGTCTGGCTAAGTTGCCCAGACTGGCTTTGAACTTTCAATCTTCCTTCCTTAGCCTCCAAAGTAGCAGGTATTAAAGGTATGTGCCGCATGGTCAGCACTAAGGGCATTTTCTTTGTACAATTTCTTGGCGCTGGTGACTGAACCTGAGGCCTGCCATATGCTAAACGTGTTCCATTGCTAAGCTTACATTCTCAGCCCTTGTGTGGACTTTTTGAGAATTATTTAAGAATTACTATATCCTTGCATATGCTACGTCTCCGTATTTTTGTTGTCTAATGGAAATGTGGTTTTCATCCTGTATATTTCTTATCCATGTAGCTAAATACTTTTTGCTGACTCTCTTGCCTATCATGTGGCTTCTGTTGAAATGTCCATGTGAGATTGATTATATTTTAGAACTACTTTTTCCCTGTCATAAAATGTCAAAGATTTGAACTTGAGCCATCATGTGAAACCGATGGAATTGGTAATGGATTTTCTAAAGAATATTTTATCGGTGTATCTGTCTGTCTGTCTATCTGGTTTTTTTTGAGATACGGTCTTGCTATGCAGTTCAGGCTGGCCTTGAATGCACTGTGTAGGCCAGGCTGGTCTCAAACTTCTGGCAATCCTTCTGTCTCAGCCTCCCACATGCTGGGATTACAGATGTGCACCACCATGCCCAGCATGGCCTCAAATTCTTAGTCATCTTCCTGCCTTAGCCTCCTGAGTTGCTGGGATTGCATTTGTGCATCCCCAAGCCTGGCTGTCGAGAAAAGGTGTATAAGACTGGGCCAAAGAGATGACTGGTGACTATTGCGTATAAGGCTATAAGTATGATTCTTCAAGGTTAATGCAGTTCTATAGGGATAATACCTTTCACTTCTATTGACTCAGCTATTTTACAGTTGTATATGGGAGGTTAACTTGGACAAAACTGCTAGTAATACAAATGACTTCTGTCCACGGAGATTCAAGACAATTTTATCAACAACAAAAGACAATTTTAACAAATATAAATGATTCCCACCTTGATTTTTTTCTCCTTAGAGAAAAAGATGACCCTAAACATTATACTTTATTGCAGTTTCTCAGCCGTAGGTACTATTAACATATGGGCAAGATAATCCTTTGTATTTGGTGGTGGGCAGTGCCCTGTGTAGTGGAGGCGTTCCATTGCATCCCTGGTCTGTACCCACTAGATGCCCCTGGCAACTTAGTGAAAACCGCCCCTGTGTCTGCTGAAGTTTGCTTTTTATGTCGTGTCTAGATGGCTATGATTATTTCACTAGCGTCTCTGTCAGAACCAGAAGGACCAGTGGTACAGTGGCCCTTATCTCTCATTGATATTTGTCCTGATTCCTTTGAGGTATGTCTTCCCTTAGATTGTGCAGTGGTGTGGGGTCTGAGGTGTGTAATGCTAGTATCCTGGGACCCCTGAGTGCTTCTTCTTCTCCTCATTGGGCCTGCTTTGCCCAGAGTCCTTACCTGGAGGGCCGAATTCCTGGCAATGGAAAGAATGTGAAGCATCTGAACTCAAAGAAGATCTGATGATCTAGAAGATTTTAATGATTAGGAAGTTGTTCTGTTACAATGTTCAAGCTTTTTGGAAATTATGAGCTATAAAAATTGAAAGGCTTCCTACCATGTAATTCATCACAGCTTCTTGATCCTAAAAATGACCACAGACAAGGGAGTGTTCACTTTTCTTCTCCATGTTTCTCTATACTGGTTTTTAAGTGTCAGTCATAGCTGATCCTTGGCTTTCATTTTACTTTTCATTTTAAGGGGGTTTTTTTGGTTTTGTTTTTTTGTTTGTTTGTTTGTTTTTTGGTACTGGGGATCTAACTCGGGTCCTTGCGCTTGCAAGGCAGGCCACCAAACTGCTGAGCTAAATCCCTGGCCCCATCATTTTAAGTTTTAAGTTGGTGCCCAACCCAGAAAATGGAAACGGTAAAATGTTTTAAGGGGCTTATGCAACTATCTTGACTTTTCTCCTGCTTAGCAGAGCAGAAATCTTTCCACCTACTGCTCCACTGTTCTGGACAGTCCAGTTCTTGTGGTTTACGAACATTTAAAAACATGTCTGATTTCTATTTTGGTCACGTTGTATGAAAGAACCTAAACAAATCCTTCTAACTGGAAGGGCATCCCAAGGGGGCTCCAGAAACTATTCTGCTCCTCAGGAAAAGTTTGGGTCAATGTAATTGGTTTCCAGCTATCTTTCCTCCCCCCTTCCCTCTCTCCCTCCCTTCCTTTCTCTTTTTTTAAAAAATTGCGAATTTAAACTAATTTAAATGATAGCATACAAATATGTTCTTAACCTACTGAGCTAAAACAGCATTTTCTACCTGTACCACCTGTGGCACTGTGGTTCTGCAGCTTGGACCTGCTGGGTATAGGAATTATTTTTATTTGTCTCTAGACTCTCTGCTTTAAGTCTCAAATGCTCCCTTATTCCAGAATCTTTGTACAATTTGGTAAATAAAATCACTCTACCAGCATGAAATCTTCTGTGTGCGGTAGAATATTCGCAGTTGGCCATCTTTCCGTCTCTTTTGCACAGCCTCACAAAGCTCAGAGTCATCTGTATGTGGTCCTGGTATTTTCTCTGTGCTTCATGTCAGTGTATCCATCTCAGCCACTTTGTACCACGCACACTGGAATCCACTGTTGTCTCTGGCCTGGAGTTGGTAGTTACAGTAATTTTTTGTGGGGGTCCCTGATTTTTACCTCTCCTGCAATCTGCTCCCATCAGCAACCAGTACAAACCTTTACAAATATAGGTCTGATCAAGTCAGCCCTGTTCAAAACCCTCTAATAGTTTCCTGTCACCTTTGGAATAAAGGACCGTCTTACTTGTTCTGGTTACTGTGTGCAGTTAGACCTCACCTGTCCCTTCGGGACTGCTGTACTTGCCTGTCTGCCTTTTGGCCCTGGGCAGCTGCAGGACTCCTCCGAGCCTGTTTCTGCCCCTCTGAATGAAAGCTGCGCCTGCCTGGCTTACCTCTCAAGGTGACTGAGAGCCTTGGATGTGTTTTGACTGCTGTTTCTGATTGTCTTTCTGCTCCCTTTGAACCATTTTTATGTTGTAAAATTACTTCCTAGCTTTTATTTGGGTTGGGGTGAGTTTGAGTCCTCGTAGCGCTTTGATTGACAGACACAGACTTTCTGCTTCTTGACCTGTTTGTGACTTAGTTCTGAAAGTGCTGTGTGTTGATAAAATGGAGGGAAGGGAGCAGGAAAAGGAGAGGGGTGACTGGGAGCTTGGCTTTCCTAAGGGCCTTCCCCAGCTTCCAGGACGCATCTAATTGTCATTCAGGGGAGACAGCAAAGGCTGGAACTGCTGGGGAGCAAAAACTCCACAGCTCCAGCATCTGCCCGAATTTCTGGTTCTTTTGTTTTGGAGTTAGACCTGTGTCCTCTGTCCAGGTCAAATCCTAGTTAAAAAAATTCAACTGCTGACTGATTCTTCTTTTGAACTATATCATTTAAAATGTGAGGAATGGAGCTGGGAGTAACCCAAGTAGAATGAGGGAAGAGGTGCTTGTGAATGTTCATGTTTATTTGTAAATTAGTGTGATTAAGGTGGGTAAGACAAAGAAAGGTAAATGACACAATTAGCTGTCCAAGAGAGACAAATCCTGTTCACATCCTATTATATCCCATAAGGGGCAAGGTTGAGGTATTTTTTGTTTTGTTGTGAGACAGTCAGTCCCACTATGTGGTTCAGGCTCACCTTGACTTGATTTTTTTTTTTTGGTATGGGGATCAAACTCAGTACCTTGTGCTTTGTGAAGCAGTTGGTGGCACCAGGAGGCTCCACTGAGCTAAATCCCCAGCCAGGCTAGCCTTGAGCTCACTACGTGTGGCCCAGGCTGACCTCAAACTCCTGGTGATTCTCATGCCTCAGCTAGCTACTTTGAATAGTTATTTACAATGTAATTTACTTGATTTCCCACCACACTAAGAAGTTATATGTTGATAAATTGATTATTTTAGTTTGATAGGAGATTAGTTATATACATTTTAACCTTGTATTAATTTTTTTGGTGAGAAAAATTCTTTTATAATTTAGCATATAACTTGTAAGTTCATGTCAAAGTTGGAAAGGAATTCACTGATTTAGTATTCCGCCTTATGTGAACACCCTGTGGTCACCCTGCGGTACTAGGATAGGTTGAGCAAAAGGTGTGAGCTTGAGGTCTTCCCTACACGAGTTTTTTACAACAGCACCTGGAGAATGGAAATACTGCCAGGCATTGTGGCACACACCGGTAATCGATCTCAGCACTCAGGAGGCTGAGGCAGCAGGATTGCTGTGAGTTCAAGGCCAGCCTTGGTTACGTAGTGAGTCAAGGTCAGTTTGAACTATACAGTGAGATCTTGTCTCAAAAATGGAAATACTGAAAACGACAAGGACCGGTGACTTCTAGAAGTATTGTCCAGGTTTTCATTTATTCACTGTATGATTTTGAATACCACCAGCTGTTTTATTTCATTGGAATGCTGGGGATTGAACCCGGGGCCTTGAGCAGGCCAGGCAGCTGCTCTCCCACTGAGCTACATCCCCAGCTCAACTATTGCACTTTAAGTGGACTCCCACATCCACGGCCTGTGCAGTATCAGCAGGGTCAGAAGAGATCCATGTCAACTGAGGCCTAGAAAATGGATGGGCAGATTATAACACATATTATACCAAATGTTATCCATTTACTGAAGGTATTTTTATTTTTTATTTTTATTAGTATTTTTTTGGTACCAGGAATCGAACTCAGGACCTTGTGCTTGCAAGGCAGGTGCAATGCCACTGATCTAAATCCCTGGCCCTAGTGAAGGCATTTTTAATATGAAAGAGAAATATGTCTAGTAATCCATATCACTCAGTTATTCTTGTATCATGATCTGTTAATGCTAGCCTTTCCTTTTTCTCCAGGCAAATAAGGGAGAGACTGAAGAATCAAGTGGCTCAGATGAAAGAGCAAGTACCTGGCTTTGCACCAGGCCTGGCGATTTTACAGGTATGATGATATTGCTGTTAACATCCTCCTTACTCAGTCTTGCAATAGCAGTTCAGACATTCAAGGAATAAGCAGTTCAGACCTCTACTTCCTTTTTTTTCCCCCATGGTACCGGGGATCAGACACAGGAATTTGCACTTGTGAGGCAGGCATGGCACCACTGAGCTAAATCCCCCTCCTTATTTTTGCTTTTGTGAAACCTCACACCTCTTCGTTTTTTCTTTATAAGGTGTCCCTCTTCAGCTCAATTTCCAATACTCATTTGTCCCGGTCCCCCTGCTCTTATCTGCTGATTCCCTTTTGCTAGGCCAATCACTTTTAGCCTTTGGTCTTTGTAGGACCCTTTATACTCAACATTTGGAACTTCAAGGAACTTTCTTTATATGGACTTAGGTATCAATATTTACTTTATTGGAAATGAAAGCCCAAGTTTTAAAAAAATATTCATTAAAAAATACCAGTAGGGGCCAGGGATTTAGCTCAGTGGTTCTGCCGCCTTCCTCGCAAGCGCAAGGACCTGTGTTCAATCCCCAGTACCAAAAAAAAAACAAAAAAACAAACCAGTAGGAAGGGTATTATGGGGAAAGAACTTTTGCACAGTAAAATTTAGTAAGAGGGGTATTATTTTGTGTGTGTTACATAACTTGGCACCACCTGGTGTAAGGGAGGAGCTGGGCTCCCCCTTGCCGCTGCATTCAGTCTCTTCAGAGTATTGGGCCTCCTATAGATACATAGTTGTCAAGGTTTTAATAGTCCCAGATAATTGTGGATCTTTTTCTTTGTTACTGCATCAGGACTCAAAAAGTAGCTTGAAAGGTTAGTTGCATTGTCCAATCTGAAACTCTTAGTGAGCTTTCATACTTTGTTTCATCCTTTCCTATTTTGTTATATGAAAATGCTACAGTTGAAATGGATATTTACCAAGGGGTAGTTTTGTTACCTCCTTCATTTCTCATTTGGGAAATAATGATTCACTGAATCATGCAGATCTTCCATATGTTAATACATTTTGTTACACGGTATAAAAAACCATAGTCGGTAATTAATATCACCAAGGAGCTTAGCAGAAAAATCCTGAGAGAAGCTGTCAAGCTCACAGAGGTGGATTAGAGCTTCTAATATTTGCTTGAAAATTTAAGGTTTTTATTTGTTTGGTGCTGAGGGTTGAATCTAGGGCCTTGCACCTGCTAAGCCCTGCTCTACCGCTGAGCTATACCCCCAGCCTAGAAATTTTACTGGCAACAGAGGCAGTTAGTTGTTTTCCTTCGAGTATCAGGCTCATTTTATTCATTTTTTTGAGAAAATATTTGCCAAATACTTAAACTTAATCCTTGTTTGTCAGTTGTTCTTTCAAGAAGAGTTGGTGTTCCATAGAAAAATACATGTAGTTCAGCTGGCAAGGCCAAAAAACCCACAATCACATTTCCAAGTGACAGCCACTGTGCATCCGTGGGCAGCAGGCGTGCTCTGTACTCATGGAGATTACTGAAAGGACATGTACTCACCGGTTGAGATTTAATAAAATCAGTCATTTGTATTGCTTCCTCATAAGGTGGGCATGGTGGGGCACAACTGTAATCCCAGTGCTCAGGAGGCTGAGGCAGGAGGATTGCTGCAAATTAGAGGCCAACCTGGGCTACACTGTGAGTTCAAAGGCAGCCTGAATCACATAGCGAGATCCTGCCTCTAAAAAAGAAAGAAAGAAAGAAAAAAAAATATATATGTATAAGTCATATTGCTTTTTCAAGGGCCTTCTTAAACTGGAATCTGTGTGGCAGTGAAGGATACTTTGGTGACTAGTGTGGACTGGTGCCTTTGTCTTGACTTCACGCTGTCACCAAGCTGTCTTACCCACCGTTATTTTGTACTCCTGGTATAGAAGTCAACCCATTGAAAAAGGCTGACAACATCATAGTAGTACTTGAAAGTTGTCAGAATCAAAATGGAGTCGCCTGTATAAAACCCTGACAAACAGAGTCAGAGAAGGCCAGGACAGGAGAGTCCTCAGGTTTGCCTGGTAAGAACTGTCACCATAGAGTCCTGGGAAAAGGACTCATTCATTGTTGATGGGGCTGTAAGTTAGTGTAGTCATTGTGGAGAACAGTATAGCAGTTCCTCCAAGAATGGGTGAGCTACACTTTGAGAATCCCTGGCCTGGGAATTTCATCTGGCAGGCCGGTAGCTCCCACATCTAAATCCCTTCTGAATTTCGGTCTCTTGATTTCTGGAACACCACTCTTTGCCCTACCTTCTCTGGTCTCCTGTGACACTTCTTGTCTCCCTGATACCTAATCACGTGACTGTTTTAGGACTCAGCCCTCAGATCTTTTCTGGAAGTGACCTCACTCAACCGTGTAGCTTCGTGAAGGGACACTTCCAAATTTAGGCCTCCTCTATCCAGAGTTTCTTTCCTGAGCTCCAGAGTCACCCAGTAGGGAGGCATTCAGCAGATAGATACTTGTTTGGGCAGATACAAATTTGTTTGAAGGACTGATTCAAACAGGAAATTTGTGGGGCCAGGGATTTGGCTCAGTGGTTCCGCTGCAAGGGAGCAAGTTTGATCCCCGGTACCAAAAAAAAAAAAAACCCCACCAGGAAACTCGCAGCTTCATTTGAAACTCCTTTCAGAAGTGCAGCTTCCTAGCCTTGTGCTCTTTCCATGTGCCAGTCTCCATACATCTTTAACTCCTTGTTAGGTTTTATCAAGATATTCAGAATGAATGGAACTTAAATATCATTTTCCCTTGCTGTCTTTGAGGCCTTGCTGAGGAAAAAGGAACACAAGGCCTGGGTTTCAGTTCCTGTTGTGTTCTCTGCTGTGGTGGGTTTTCCTTTCTTTGCAGATTACTAAGAATCAAAGGTGTGTATTGTGGATGTATACTTATTACATTTGGAGAGTAGTTATTTCTTGGCTTATTCTTGCAAATTGTTTGCTATAAAAAAGAAAGAAAAAGTCATAGGCAAGAAATCTGTTTCTGAGCTGAGGATTTAGCTCATTGGTTCTGTCGCCTGCCTCGCGCGCACAGGGACCAGAGTTCAATCCCTGGTCCCGCCCCCGCAAAAAAGAAATCTGTTTCTGAGGTGGGAGTGTAGCTCAATGCTGGAACACTTGCCTAGAATGTGTGAGACTCTGGGCTTGAACCCTAACACTGCAAAACAAACAAACTAAATAACTAGATAAATGAAATCCGTGCTTAACAAAAATTTTTAAAATGAGGCCATTGTTTTGAACTAAGTACCTTCACTGCGACCCAGCAGACCCATGTAAAAACCAAAATGGAGTCACCAGTGCTAAAGACCTGTGTCATCAACTGAGACTGTTTATCTGACTTTTGAGCAATCAGATTCGAAAGCGCATAGACAGATTTCCAAAACAGGGCAGTTTGAGTTGGCATGAGAGTAAAGCTTCCTCTGTGAAAACGGGTAACCTGTTGTAACCCAGTTTTAACCAGTGAACTATTTGTTTTTCTGACTCCCTGTGCCCACCTTACAAAGAAAAGAACTTTGACCTATGTGCTTTTATTTTTTTAATCCTACTTTGGCTTTGTTGTGTCTCCAAAAGTTATGCTACTCATTCATTGAAATGCTAGTTCTAGCTTATAGAATGCAGTGTTCCCTGATTCTGGAATTACAAATAAAGCCAGTTAAAGTCTTTGGGAGGAATTTTTTATTTATTATCTTTTCTTTTGTTTTTTATTTTGCTGTGCAGTCCAGGCTGGCCTGGAATTTGTGATCCTCCTGTCTCAGCCTTCCAAGTGCTGGGATTGCAGACATGCACCATCTTTTTTTGTATTTCCTCACTTTTAAGACTGACTTTCAGAATCAGCTTTAATTTTACTGATTACAGTGTTTTTATTATTTATAAACACTGTTCCACAGCCCATCTCTTATGCCCTCATAATAAAATAGTGGTTTACTGTTCCAATCTTGTACTTTGGCACCAGAGTCAACATTTTTCTGTGCTATGAGGCTTACATAATATGTTGTGGTCGCATCTCCTCTCTTTAGACCTGTTCCGTCCTAGTGCCGGCACTGCCGTCTTCCTGCACACCCATTCTAGAAGCCTGATGTCATCAGGTCAGGATTTCTGCCCCTTTACTTCCCACAGGGCAGTTGCGCTGTGGAGTCTGCTTTTCATTAGCTCTTGGAATCAGTTCTTTCCTCTTCATTCCTGTCGCCCCCATCCTGGTGCCTCTGTAGTCACCTGCTCCCTGGTTCTAGATCTCTTTTGTTGACACCTCCTCCCTGTCCTTTTGACCTTTGAAGCAGCCCTGTTAAAATTGAGGTCTGGGGCTGGGGGTGAAGCTCAGTGGTAGAGTACCAGCCTAGCCTCTGTGAGGCCCTGGGTTCCATCCCCAGCACCACAAAACAAAACAATCCCCCAAATCTGACTACAGTTCACCCAGCTACACCCACTTTATTGAAGAAATAGCAGCACTTCTTGGAGCTGTAGAGTGTTGGCTTTAGTTCAAATGGCCTGTGTATTTGTAATTGCATTTGTAGTTGTTCTAATTGTTACACTATCCCTACAACGTGAGAACCCTTTACTGGTGCACATAGATCTCATGTAGCTTGCCCAACACCAGTCAGGAAATGGACCGATTCTGAGACCAGAACCCAGCTCTGGCCTCAAAATCCATGTGTTTTCCCTTTGTTTTGTTTTTTTTATTATTTTTTTTTTAATTCTTTGGTTGTTTGTTTTGTTCTGTTTTAATTCCTTGCTATTACATTCAAGGACATTCATGATCCAGCCCAAGAATATACTTTAAAATTGGGGAAAACAATTTTTAACTGAGCTAACTTTCCACATAACTGAATACTGTATTGTATAAATACATAAATATAATACCATATTTATACAAAGTTGAGTTAACTTTTCAAAAGAGTTAGAAATGAGGTTGTATTTTCATCCCTTAGTACATAAAACATCTTAGTTATTAAAATGTAATAGCTAATCTGTGTTTACTACCAGGAATTATCACAGTGCTTTCTTTATTCAGTAACTCACTTAAATCTCACAAAACATGGACAAAATCAATAAAAGTAATGTATTCAACTGACCTAAATACCTACAAAAGTTCTTGAAATGGAAAGAAAATGAGTAGAGCAATATCTAAGATATTTTATGATATAAAACAGGGATGCTCAAACATCAGCCCATGTCCAAATGCTACTAAGATGTCAAAGATTTAAAAAGTAGCAACAGGAGCTAATCATAATGGTGCATGCCTGTAATCCCAGCACTCAGGAGGCTGAGGCAGGAGGATCACTGTGAGTTCGAGACCAGCCTGGGCTATGTAGTGAGTTCTGGGCCAGTCTCGACTACAAAGTGAGACCCTGTCTCAAAAATAAATAAATAAATAATAAAAAGTAGCAACAGTTGTGACCTGGGGTGTGACCCACAAAGACTAAGATACACCATTTTAGTCTGGCCCTTTACAGAAACAGTTTGAGGGCTCCTGGTGTTAACTAATTAAATAGAGTAAAACCCTAACCTATTCTGGAATAGGATTTTTTTTGGGGGGGGGGATGATATAATATTTAGCCACTTTGAACAAAGATTTACATTCCAGATAATAAAATGCTTTAGTAGTGTTCTTGATAAACTGTATTGGGATTGAGATTTGTACGCCTGTCTTCCAACCACCCACTTGACTGCCAGTCAAGAATCTGATTTTCTTTAACATTCTTGTATCCAATCTGTCTGGGATTGTGTAACCATTTTTTTCCTGTAAAATGCCTAGGGTTGGGGGCGTAGGTCTGTGGTAGAGCCCTTGCCTAGGAAGTGTGAGGCCCTGGCTTCCATCCCCAGCACTGGCACTGCGTAAAAGGCCTCTTCTGGTTTTCTTGAAGTACAAGTGAGTCCATAAAACTGAGATCTACATGTAGAAGGGACAGCTAACGCTGCGACTTGGGCCGTGCGCCTGAGAACTGAGGGCAGCGTCTAGTAGCAGCCGAGTCTAAAATACCATGGTGAAGGGCGGCCTTTCCACTCGGTCCCATTCTGAGGATCCAGCCAAGCTTCAGTGCTTTATCTTTCGTGTTTCCCTCTGCATTTCTGGGAGAAACTAGCTTGTCTTTTCTGTGGCCGGGGGTTTAGCTCAGTGGTTCCGCCACCTGCCTCACAAATGGAAGGTCCCCTGGTACCAAAAAAAAAAAAAAAAAAAACAGATATCCTCTACTTCCTCTTTCTTTCCCTCCCCACTACCCTTCTCTTGCAATTGGGTTTTGCTCTACTGTACAGGCTGGCCTTGGACTCCTGGGCACAAGTCATCCTGCCTCAGCCTCTTGAGTAGTTGGGACTATAGCTGGGTGCTATTGCTCTGTTTCACTTTTTCTTTTCTTCAACCTTTTTCGCTGGGACTCAGCTAAGTCTTGTTGGGGGCAGCTGAGTATCACCTATGTTCACATCCCCCTTCTGCCCTGACAGCCTCCTTTTTCTCCTGAACAAGTTCTCTGAAACAAGAGTGGCACTCTCAGACATTCCTTTTGATCACAACAGAAATCACAGAAACTTTTCTGTACACTTTGCCATTTCCTGGTTGTCTGATTTGCATGTATTTATTATTCTAGGTTGGCGACAGAGATGATTCCAATCTTTATATAAATGTGAAGCGGAAGGCTGCCGAAGAGGTAAAGCCTAGAACAGCTGCTGTCAGCCTCCCCACCTTCACCCCAGGTCCTGTCTGTGGTTCTTTATGCTGCTCCCATAAAACTTTCACCGTCCAGCATACTTTTATCTGTCTTGCAAATGACCTAGTGCTTCATCCTCTGCTTGCCCTTGAATGTTTTCTGGCCCATGATTTCTTACTTCCCAAAGACCAGGAATAGCAGGCATAAAATTGTGGTGAGCACAGAGGGGACAGCAAGTGAACGATACACGGGTTCAGGGTGGGATGATAACTGACTAGCACTCCTGGTTTGTTTGAGTCGTGTCCGTAAAAGAAGTGGGCCCGTATCTCAAGTTCTGTTGCCGTTTACCTGTTTGAAATGTTCACTTTTGCAGATTGGGATCAAAGCCACTCACATTAAATTACCAAGATCAGCCACAGAATCTGAGGTGAGCCCTTATGAATCAGTTGACTGAAAACAGGGCAGCTGAAGTACTTTTCTGTTTGGTTTAGTGAAACTTGAGAGCTGAGAGTCATTTTGTGTACATAAGACCTCCAGGTAATTATTCTTCAGACTTCACCACCAAGAAGTCCTTGAAAACCATTAGAGTAAGTAGTGCAGTCCTAGGGATAAACATTTGGTCCTCAGCATCTGATTACAGTACCCTTTGCTTCCAGGCCACCTGTGGTGTTATTAAAACTGCTTCTTGGGGGCTGGGTACCGTGGCACACACTTGTAATCCTAGCACTCTGGGAGGCCCAGGCAGGAGGATTGCCAATATGAGTCCAGCCTGGGCAATTTAGCAACTTAGCAAGACCCAGCCTCAAAAAAAAACAAAAAACAAAAACAAACAAAAAACAATGGGGGTGTTGGGGATATAGCTCAGTATGGAGGCCCTGTATTCAATCCTTACTACCACACACACACACACACACACACACACACACAAAGCAGCAGCAACAAAAAAAACCAAAAGCAAAACCCTGATCCTGGACCTAGGGTTGGGGGCGTAGGTCTGTGGTAGAGCCCTTGCCTAGGAAGTGTGAGGCCCTGGCTTCCATCCCCAGCACTGGCACTGCGTAAAAGGCCTCTTCTGGTTTTCTTGAAGTACAAGTGAGTCCATAAAACCGAGATCTACATGTAGAAGGGACAGCTGACGCTGTGACTTGGGCCGTGCGCCTGAATTATGTTTGATTTTAAAACCAAGTACGAATTCCATTTATATAATGTGTTTATGCATAGAACAGATCAATGGTGACTATAAAAAGCAGAACTACGGGTTAACTGGAAAGGACGGGAGGGAAAAGGAGCTTTGGAGGTTGTGAGAAAGTTCTGTACCTGTACTGTGCAATCTGGTGGCCTCCAGCCCCATTTTCCTATTTAAATTTAATTATACAGGAGCAGGGGAAAGGGAAGAAGGAAAAGGAAAAAACGGATACAAAGACTTTGTAAATAGGGAGGGGTAGAAGAGTTGAAGGGAGGGCAGGAAAGTGGGGAAAAATAAGAATCAAGGGATACATCATATAAAGGTGCAAATTCCCAGTGATGAATGCCATATTATATTCTTAAAATGTACCAATAAGCTTAATGAAAAAAATTAATTATAATGAGGTAAAATTAAAAATTCAGCTCCTTGGGTTCCCCAGCCACATTTCAAGTGCTCAGTAGCTGCTGTTGGACTATAAGGTGTGAACTAGAAGGCCTTTCTCACCATGGCAAGGACTGCTGGGCATTGCTGCTCCATATCTTCTTTTAGAAGGTTGTAACCTGGGTCTTGCTGTTGCAATAGTAAGTTACTAAAGTTCTCAGCTCACTTCTTGATGGATTTCTTACCAAACACCTGGGAGATACAGTCTGTTTAAAAGTATAGCTTCTCTCAGCATTTAGGGAGAGGTAGATGCTGAGAGAGCCCAGGCAGGAGGATTGCCAATATGAGTCCAGCCTGGGCAATTTAGCAACTTAGCAAGACCCAGCCTCAAAAAAAAACAAAAAACAAAAACAAACAAAAAACAATGGGGGTGTTGGGGATATAGCTCAGTATGGAGGCCCTGTATTCAATCCTTACTACCACACACACACACACACACACACACACACACAAAACAGCAGCAACAAAAAAAACCAAAAGCAAAACCCTGATCCTGGACCTAGGGTTGGGGGCGTAGGTCTGTGGTAGAGCCCTTGCCTAGGAAGTGTGAGGCCCTGGCTTCCATCCCCAGCACTGGCACTGCGTAAAAGGCCTCTTCTGGTTTTCTTGAAGTACAAGTGAGTCCATAAAACCGAGATCTACATGTAGAAGGGACAGCTGACGCTGTGACTTGGGCCGTGCGCCTGAATTATGTTTGATTTTAAAACCAAGTACGAATTCCATTTATATAATGTGTTTATGCATAGAACAGATCAATGGTGACTATAAAAAGCAGAACTACGGGTTAACTGGAAAGGACGGGAGGGAAAAGGAGCTTTGGAGGTTGTGAGAAAGTTCTGTACCTGTACTGTGCAATCTGGTGGCCTCCAGCCCCATTTTCCTATTTAAATTTAATTATACAGGAGCAGGGGAAAGGGAAGAAGGAAAAGGAAAAAACGGATACAAAGACTTTGTAAATAGGGAGGGGTAGAAGAGTTGAAGGGAGGGCAGGAAAGTGGGGAAAAATAAGAATCAAGGGATACATCATATAAAGGTACAAATTCCCAGTGATGAATGCCATATTATATTCTTAAAATGTACCAATAAGCTTAATGAAAAAAATTAATTATAATGAGGTAAAATTAAAAATTCAGCTCCTTGGGTTCCCCAGCCACATTTCAAGTGCTCAGTAGCTGCTGTTGGACTATAAGGTGTGAACTAGAAGGCCTTTCTCACCATGGCAAGGACTGCTGGGCATTGCTGCTCCATATCTTCTTTTAGAAGGTTGTAACCTGGGTCTTGCTGTTGCAATAGTAAGTTACTAAAGTTCTCAGCTCACTTCTTGATGGATTTCTTACCAAACACCTGGGAGATACAGTCTGTTTAAAAGTATAGCTTCTCTCAGCATTTAGGGAGAGGTAGATGCTGAGAGAACTCTTATTAAGCTCTTGGGGGAAGTGGGATAACTTGATGTTTGCTTTGTGTTTTTTGTTTGTTCGTTATTTGTTTTGTTTTTTGAGGTAGAGTCTCACTAGGCAGTTCACGCTGTCCTTGAACTCGCTATGTAGCCCCGGCTGAACTTGTACTCACGACAATCCTCCTGCCTCAGCCTCCTGAGTCCTGGGATTATGTGCCCAGCTTGATGTTTGCTCTGGAAAGTGTTTCTCTACTTTTTGATTTCTGTGCAGTGTACAGATTATATGTGGTCTTACTTTTAGGTGTTAAAGCATATCATATCTTTGAATGAAGACTCCACTGTACATGGATTCATCGTACAGCTGCCTTTAGATTCGGAGACTCCCATTAACACTGAGGCAGTTATCAATGCTGTTGCTCCTGAAAAGGATGTGGACGGGTGAGCGTGACTTAGGGCCCTGCAGTGCACTGCACGGTTCCATCTGTTATCCGTTTCTGTTTTGGACACACGTCATATTTGTTTCTGAAAAACAAAGATACCTTTATTTTCTTCTTATTTTTATCACTTCTGGTATTTTAGATTGACTAGCATCAATGCTGGAAAACTTGCTCGTGGTGATCTGAATGACTGTTTCATTCCTTGTACACCCAAAGGATGCTTGGAACTCATCAAACAGACAGGTAAAGACAAAGCAGCCCGCAGGAGAGCAGCACTTCTTGTGCAAGTCCAGAGAAAGTGTCCTGTGGGCCCTAAGTGGGCCCTGTCCACTAGGGACTCTACCTCAATTCCCAGTTTTTCTTGACAACCCTACGAAGTAGGAGCTGTCATCGTTCGACAGCTAAGAAAACATCAGAACCAAGATTTGAACTCTGGGTTATTTGAGTTTGAAGCAGTTTATTTTTATGGGGGGTAAAAAGTCCTCTATATGGTAATAAGAATTCAGAGATGATGTAAGGATAAAAAGTAAAAATTCCCCGTCCTGGAACCAGCACCAAGGCTCCAGAGGCTCCAAGTCCAGACAGATGGCTGGCAGCAGAGCTCTCCAACAGTTGGCCATGTTGCCTCATTACAGAGTAGGATTTCAGTATGAATACTTTTAGCAGAGGTTATTTTTGCAGGAAAATGGGTTGATTTCAAAAGAAGTAGGTCAGAAGTTTCAAGTGGAAAATTTGACCAATATAAGTGAAAATTTTGTGTAGTTGTCAAGAAAAGGTCAAGCTATAGCCTTTAGATAGCTCTTACAGTTCAGTCCTACAGCTGAATTTATATTGTTCAGCATATTAAGCAAACAGTGTATTACAACTTTAAAAAACAAATCCCCTGTAACCCCAGTTACTCAGGAGATTGAGGCAGGACAATCACAAATTTGAGGCCAGCTAGGACAAGTTAGTGAGACTCTGGCTCAAAACAAACAGGCAAACAAATCCCATAAGCTGCAGCAGCTATAAGTGTCCCACTGTGTGTGTGTGTGTGTGTGTGTGTGTGTGTGTGTGTGTGTGTGGCGTCCACACTAAACTACATCCCCAGGCTTTTTGAGATGGTCTTGCTCAGTTGCCCAAGCTGGGCTTAAATTTGTGATCCTCTTGCCTTATCCTCTCAGAGTGATGGGATTAAAATGCTACTGTGCTTAGTTCCCACTTCCTCTTACTGATAATAAAGCTTCTGTTTGTCCTAAGGCAGCTTCAGGTCTTTGGTGAATCCTGACAAGTACACTAAAGTATTGCTTATTTATTTATTTTGTGGTGTTGGTGTTAAACCCAGGACCTCTTGCATACTTGACTAGTGCTCTGTTACTAAGCCACATTCCAAACCAAGTGCTTTTTCAGCACTTCACACTTTGAACTTTTATTCCTAGATGATCATGACAGTAACATTATATAAGAGCTGATACTTTCCTAATAAAATTAATTTTAAGCAAGAAGCATAATTTACTCTGGAACCCCTTCTCACAAGGGTCCACAACCTCCAGCCTTGACTGGGTGCTGCTTTCTGTTAGGGTACATTCTTAGGCTCCTAGTGACCCCAAGAAGGTGAAGCTTTGTTCCTTCTAATCGTCATGGGATTGGATTTTATTGGCCAGGGGTGGGCCAGGGATTTAGCTCAGTGGTTTCGCTGCCTGCCTCTCAAGCACAAGGTCCCAAGTTTGATCCCCCAGTACCCCCCCAAAAAAACCCCCAAAACTTAAATACATTTATTGGCCAGGGGATAATAAGTAGGGCCATTTTCTACTAATGAGTACTCCCACAAATCTGTTGAGTAGAGTAGAAGTCAGTCCTTAAAAGGACATCATTTTGTTGCCAAAGTGTGTGTGTGCTGAGTAAGCAAAAAGAAAGCTTTCCACTACAGCCCATTTTCCCTGCAAATCACCCTATGGATCAGGCCCTAAGCCGAAAGTGAAATTTAGATGAGGAACCACATAAATAAATTTGCTAAAGTTGAAAAGAATTTATGATACTAATCTAATTTTCTTCATTTCTCTCCACCTCATTTCGATACCCTAGTTGTTATAACTGTTTTTCCTGTGATAACTTCTTATATGTGGCTCTTTAGCTGGACGTCAGAGTTTCTTTTTTGAGTGTAGGATTTCTTCCCACTCCCCTATGACTCAGTGAATGGATCTTGGCCTCAGATCCACAGCAAGAAGGACAGTGTACAGTTCCAATCAGTAGCTGAAGCCCTAGAACTGAGTATTGCCAAAGAAGGAGTATTTTTATGGAACTGTGTCTAGTGCTGAGACCCTGCTTTTGTGCATTTCTTATCTCAGTTTTCCATTGGGTGCAATGCAAAGGAGGGTGGCTGCTGCCTCCCAGCTCTGATGCAAGCTGGCTTTTCTCGCAGGGGTACAGATTGCCGGAAGTCATGCTGTGGTGGTCGGACGCAGTAAGATAGTGGGTGCCCCGATGCATGACTTGCTGCTGTGGAACAATGCCACGGTGACCACCTGCCATTCCAAGTCTGCCCATCTGGACAAGGAGGTAGGAGGCCCGGAAGACAGTAGGTTGTGTGTGGTGGGCATGTGTGCGTATACACATCACCCTCGTTATTCCACTTAACCCTATTATTACACTGCCATGTTTCTCGTTTTATAAGATGAAAAACCAAATTCAAATTACGAACTTGCCCAAGTTTATACTTGTCTTGTGGCAGACAGAATTAGCAGTACAGGCTCCGGGTTTGGCCCTGGTGTCCAGATCCTAAATGTCTTACGTACTTTTTCCATTGCTGAGACAAAATACCCAACACCCAAAGTTAAAGAAGAAAAGGATTATTTAGCACACAGTTAGCACACAGTTTGTAGAAGTTTCAGTCCATAATCATCTGGCTCCAAGGCAGGGTGGCATCACAGAGAAAGTTCATAGTGGGCAGAAGGTAGTAAAGCAACAAGGCCAAGGACTAGACAAGCCTCATTCTGTCCCTTATATTGTATCCAGACTACCAAGCCAATCAGTGACTGATTTAGTAATTGCCCATCCTTAATCCGAGCATTGCACCATGAATCAGTCACACACTGTAAGATTCAGCCCTCTCTGAGAAAGTCCCTCCTATGACTGCCCAAGGCTTTGCGGGGACAGACATCTTGACATGAGCCGTAAACACCAGGTATGTGTCGGAGGTGCTCTGGAGGCACTTGTGTGCCTGTGGCATCTTCTTGAGCCCCTTCATCAGATTCCTGAGCCCAAGAATGCTAATATGTCTGCATCGCTGTTGACTGTAGTCTCTTAAATGTGGGGACAGGGCAGGAGAGAAGCCTGGCACCTTTTAGTCGTCCCAAAGCAGTGTTCCTTGGGAGGCGGTGGCATCCACATCCTGTAGAAGGTGCAGCCTTGGGACACTGCATGCAGGCCATTGTCTCGGCCCGTGCTTCTCCATGCTGCAGGTCTCACTGCCTCTCCACTGGGTAAAAGGCCTGGTGCAGGAGCTCTGGGCGTGTGTAGGAGCGAGCACAGTGTGTGAAGGGCTGTCACACACCCCATGTGGCATGCGTTTGAGGCCTTCACCCAGTCAGTCTCCCGCGAAATAACTGGTGATAATTGACAATTTAGTACAAGCTCAGAGGTGTCCTTTCCGCTTCTGGATTTTCTTAACTTGCATTGCATTATTTAATTCTTGAAGTCCAAATCCCTTCCCCTAGGTGAATAAAGGTGATATCTTGGTGGTTGCCACTGGTCAGCCTGAAATGGTGAAAGGAGAGTGGATCAAACTTGGGGCGGTTGTCATCGACTGTGGAATCAATTATGTCCAAGGTGAGCGTTGCTGGGGGAAGAGCTTGGTTGCTGGGCCGAGGACAGGAAGCCTGAGAGACAGCCTCTTAGGTTGTTCTGTGCTTGAAGTACTGACGTTCAGAGGGTGCAGGTAGAATAATGGCTGCTTGGGATCCCGCCTTTGACTTCTGCCACTTTGCCATACAGTCCAGGAAGACACGAGAGGGGACAACTTAGTGACACTGCACTATCTTCATCTAGAGATCATCCTTTATTTAAACAAAGATGATAGATGTATTTTAAATATTTAAAAATACAGTAGTCCCTCCTTATCCACAGTTTTGCTTTCTATGGTTTCAGTTTTCCAAGGTCAACTCCTGCCCTAAAATAGTAAATGGAAAATTCCAGAAGCATGAGTCTTAAACTGTGTGCTCTTCTGAGTAGTTTGAAGAAGTCCTGTGCTGTCCTCTCCACCCCAGCTCTCCCTCTCTGGGCCCCAACCTGTCCCTTTGTCCAGCATGTCCACACTGAGCACACTCCCTGCCTGATCGTCGCTCACCAGCCGCTGTGCTCATCAGAGAGACTCTCTCAGTACTGCACTGTTTCGGTGAGCCCCCCTTATACTTAGTAACAACCCCAAAATGCAAGAATAGACATGCTTGTAATTTGGACAAACCAAAGAGAGGCTATAAAGTGCTTGCTTCTGGTGAAAGTAAAGATTTTGAGAGAGGAAGATAAGTTTTTTCATATAACTTTCAGTACACTATTAAAATTGTTCTCTTTTATTATTACATGTAGTTATTGTTTATCTCTTACTGTGCCTAATTTATAAAATTAAACTTTAGGTAAGTAGATATAGGGAAAAATACATATCCAGTACTCTCCGTGGCTTCAGGCATCCTTTGGGTATCTTAGAATGTATCCCTGCAGACAGAGGGCACCGGCTGCTGTAATCATCACTGCAAAGTGCTGCGAGGGTCAAGGAGAGCCTGGCCGTCCATGAGTTCCTAGGACTGCTTTACCAAGTTGGCCTGGGCTTAGGAAAAATGCAGCCTTTAGTCATGTCCAGAACTATACCTGACAGCCTCATCCCCAGGTTACTCCTCATCCCCTGCTTTGATGAACGATGTCTTCCTTCCTTCTTGCAGGCCTGCAACCGTTTGGTTCTCCCAGTCATTGTCTGCGTTTCGTCCATTTGAAAGTATTAGGCGCCGCTTTCCTGTGTCCCCTAAGCACTCCCCTCAGCAAGGTGGACTGCTGTCCGTTTCTTGCTGGTATCGCTGCCTGCAGCTGATTCTCAGCCAGATCCCCCCGTCTTCCCATGCTCACCTACTGACAGGACCTGGGTGACTCTTCCTCCCACATCTCTTGCCAGCCTCCTTTACCTCAGTGAGCTTCAGCCCCCTGCAGTCTTTTTTTTTTCTTTTTTTTTTTTTTTGAGACAGGGTCTCACTATGTAGCCAGGTGGGCCTTGAACTCATGGTGTTCCTTCTACCTCAGCCTCAGTGGGATTACAGGTGTGCACCGCCATGCCTGGCCCCCTGCAGTCTTTTCACTCGTCTGTACTTACTGAATACCCAACGTACACAGTTTTAAATTGGATCATTTTCCCTTTCCTGCACATGCCTAGTTCTTTGCAGCTCCTATACCTGCAACCTTAGTGGAGCAGGCTATTCTTTCAAACGTAAAAGTTCAGGGCTAAGGATTTGGCTCAGTGTCATCATACCTGCCTCACAAGCACAAGATCCTGAGTTCGATCCCCAGTACTCCCCCCCGAAATATATAATATGTACATATTATATATATATATATATATAGAGAAAGAGAGAGAGAGAGAGGGAGAGAGAGAGAAATACAGGAATACCTACATACACACCTCATAGCTGCAGGAAGGGAGCAGTCTTTAATTGAGTACCTACTTCTGTGCATTAAGCACTGTGCTAGGTTCTATGCTCAGGGCCTCATGCATGCTATGTAAGCACTCTGCTACTGAGTTACATCCCTGACCCTGGACTTCATTCGTTTGTTTAATACAGTTCTGATGACTAAACCCAGGGCCTCATCTGTGCTAGGCAAGTGCCCTACCACTGAGCTACGTGCCCAAGCACTACCACCTTCACAAGCACCAAAACCTGGTTTTTTTTGGACTTCCCTTCACACTGCTTCCTCCCACCTCCTCTCTATCTTTAATGTCTCTTCCTTCTTCCGAACCTCCTCTGATTTCCCCACAACCAGGGAAGATCTCTCTCTCTTTTGAAAATCCTCCTCTCCTTCCCTTCTGTCCTACACAGCGTGGTATTTCTTTTATCATATGTGCCTCTCATGAGACAGCTTCTCCTGATTAGTAGGACGTGGCGTGCCCTGTCCAGCTTCCTGCTCTGATAGCTGGCACTCACATCTGTTGAATTGTTGAAGGGAATTAGTGCAAGAATAGTCTTTTTTCTCCCTTTCCATCTCAAGTTTGAAATGTAGACACTGAGCTGCCAGGAGCATTAGTCACTGTCAAGTCCTCACCGTTTTTAAACTCCCTCCCACTCTCCCCACCGCGCTTTTAAGACAGTAGCTCATAATTGATCACTCATTTTCTGGTAGTGTAATTATCTAAAAGGTGATAAAGAAATTGCTCTCCTACAACTCTGCACTTTGAATACTTGCAGCATGACATTTCGGCTCATTCTCTTTCAATCCGTGCACCTTCTGCTTTGGGCATTTTTTCTGATTAGATGTAAAAGATGGAGAAGAAGGCCCTGGGAGATCTGGAATCTGGCAGATAGGTTTGAAATGTTGATTTATTTAAACAAACATTACCATCCTGTTCACACTGCTTCCTGATATAGGTGGTACAATAGGAATAAAATTAACGCAGTATTATCCCCCTGGGCAACAGTGTTTTCACTGATCCTGGCCATGTAGGCAAATAAATACCGATAAGGCTGGACATTATTGTCCCAAGGAATGGCAGACTCTCTGAGCTGTAGACCAGTGGATGGGCTGCCGGACCCAAAGACTATTCTCTACATATGTTCACTTTAGAAGCAATAAATTCCTGTGAGCCAAACCTTGGTTCCTAATTTATTTAAGTTATTTGCATGGGGCTGGAGTGTAGCTCAGTTGTAGAGCAAGTGCTTAGCCTAGATTTGATCCCCAGCATAAGAAAATAAAAAAAATTATCCTGGTGTGGTGGTATATACCTGTAATACCAGCATTCTAAGAGGGTAAGACAGGAGGATTGTGAGTTAAAGTCCAGCCTGGGCAATTTAGTGAGACCCTGTCTCAAAATAAAAAATAAGGCTGAGGATGTAGCTCAGTGGTACTGCACCCACCTGGCAAGCGCAAGGTCCTAAGTTCAATCCCTGGTACTACAAAAAATAAAAATAAAATTTAATAAAATAAAGGGTGAGAATGTAGCCCAGTATGAAGACCCTGTGTTCAATCCACTGTACTGCAAAAATTTAAAAGTAAATTGCTCATACAAGTCGCTCAGGGATAGAAGGGACAAGTCTCGGCACAGAATGAATTAAGGTCTTTTTTTTTTTTTTTAAAGAATTTTCTTAGGGTTAACTTTGTTGACTGTTGGATATTGAACCCGGGGCTTTGCACGTGCTAGGCAAGTGCTCTTACCACTCAGCTGCACCCCACCCCACCTTTTTAAGATTCATGTGCAGAGCAGAGAGAATTGGCCAGAGCAACATGTGGAAGTGTTCTTCCTCCCTAGTGTACTACCAAAACATAATTTGAGAAGTTCTAGATTAATAGTAATTAATTTGGAAGGGCCGTAAAAAGGCAGACAGACTCCTCATCCTTACTTGATCTGGTCTCAGTCCATCCAGTGTAGTGGCATCTGTATTGGCCTCTATACTTAAAGGTCCTCAAGTTAAATGTCAAGGCTCAGTTGAATTTTGTACATGTAACTTCCCAATGAAAGAAAAATCCTTGGGCTGGCTTAGATAACCTCAGTGTCTACCTGTTACTGAGGCTGTGTCTGTGGGTTGAGAAGTGGTCACTTTCACCACTGACCACATTGTACTCTTTTTTTTTTTTTTTGATACCGAGGATCGAACATCGAACTCAGGTCCTTGTGCTTGTGAGGCAGGCAGCGGAACCACTGAGCCAAATCCCTGGCCCCACATTGTACTCTTTATGAGACCTTGTACCTGTGTAATCAGGCATCCAAGTCAAAATTGATGATATATGGTATAAGGGCCAAGCCGAGCTTGTCTGCTACATTTCGTGGTGCAATAACTGATTTGTGTCTGTTGTCTATGCAGAAACTAAAATGACTACAAATAGAAAGAGTTGCAAGGGGTTTTTTTTTCTTCTCAGTACCAGGGATCAAACTTAGGACCTTACCATTGTGGGGCAGGCATGCTGCCACTGAGCTAAACCCCCAGCCTGCAAGGGTATCTTAAGATAACTTCAGTGTTACTGTTGAAACTGGTACAAAAGATAAATATTTCCTTATAATTCTCTTTTTTTTTTCTTCTACTGAGGATTGAACCCAGGACTTCCTGAATGCTAGGCCAGCACTCTATCAGTGAGCCACATCTTTAGCTCTTTCTTAGAAAATTTTCCTTTGAGACATGGTCGTGCTAAATTGCCTAGCCTGTCCTCAAACTTGTGCTCCTCCTGAGGACCTGGGATTACGAGTGTGCGCCGTGGCTCCTTGGCATTTAACCTGACTTCAGAGGTTATGAGGGAAAACTTTCTGCCATAGTTAGATGCTTCATAATCATCAAGAAACAAAACAATCCCAAGGGATCACCACTCCCGCTAATATATGTAAGTTTATACTGTATATATGAGTGGGGTCTGCACGCTTACATATGAGGCCCTGGGTTCCATCCCTAGTGCACACACACACATGTGCTCAAAAGTCCACATATGGGACTGGAAACTTTAACATTTGGAGAATGCTTTTTCTTTTTTAGACAGAGTCTCCCTATGTATTTCAGGCTGGCCTGCCTTGACTTAATATATAGTCCAGGCTGGCCTTGAATTCACGGTGGTCTTCCTGCCTCAGCCTCCTGAAGTGGTGTACCACCATGCCCAGCAAGAATAGTTTTTCACGAGCTGGGTATTTAGCTCAGTGGTTCTACCACCTGCCTTGCAAGTGCAAGGTCCCAAGTTCAATCCCTGGTACCACAAAACAAAAAAAGAATGCTTTTTTACTTTCGAGAATTTGCACACACTATTGTTAGGTGAGCTTTGGCAAGTATGAGAGATAGGTAGTGTTATTCCTCTGTGTCTTTGGACCAGAGAATGTGCAGCCTCTGCTGGTTGAGGACAGTGTAAGAGCTCATCCTAAAGCCTAGTTCTCTTAGTTCTGACTTTTTGGTTGTACCTTGCAGCTTCCTCTAGATTATAGAGATCAGCTCAAAGAGAAATGGCAGTCTGGCTAAGATTTTACCAGCTCCTGCCCAGGAACATTGCTGCTTCAGGGTTCAGGCTGGCCCTAGGCCCTCTGGAAGTGCACTGCAGCCAAGTGTGGGATGTTCTTTGTGTGAGCAAGCCGTGAGGCATCACTGGTTTTGTTCTCTTGAATAGCTGTTCTTTGCTGCTAAGATTTGTAGTTGTTCTTGTCTCCTTTTAAGGGAAGTGTAATTATATTCTTTGCCTTTTGCATACATTTAAGTAGCTGCTCATCTTTGGAATTGGATGTTGAATTGTTCCTCCAGCTCACACGTGGAGCTTACAAAATGCTGACAGTTGCTGTAGAAACCGTATCTGGCAGCTGTGACATAGTTGGAGCTTCGCGCACTCAATAAAATCCCTTTGTAGGCCTTGGAAAATTAACATTTGAAAAGTGCTCATATACTGGGTAGTTGGTTTTAAGAATAAAAAAACAATCAGTGTTTTATTTGCCATCTGAGGAACTACAAAAGAATTCTTCAGGGTCTACAAAACCACTCAGTGTCTAGTAAATTTTTGCAGGTAATATAATTTTCTCCCTGTGAAGTGTGAAATACCCGTCACCCCACAGCAAGTTGGGAGATGGAACCCAGGCCTTGCACTTGTGAGGGAAGGGCCCTACCTCTGAGCTTCAGCCTCACCCTGTCCTGCAGAAGCTTTTCACTAATGTAGACACTTGGGTCCGATCGAACTAACACCCTAAAATTTGACTTAGCTTTTGAAACAAACTGCCATAATTGGTCACGTGGAGAGAAACACTCTCTATTGCTCTTCTGAGATACTGCTTTGATATTTTTCCCCCTCTTGACCAGACAGTACAAAACCAAATGGAAAGAAAGTGGTAGGCGATGTGGCATACGAGGAGGCCAAGGAGAGGGCAGGCTTCATCACGCCTGTCCCTGGTGGTGTTGGGCCCATGACTGTGGCAATGCTGATGCAGGTAATTGTGAGCTTCTGGGATCCTTCTCTCCACAGAGGCATAGCAGAAAATCTATTGAGAAGTTGGGTAAAGATGTGAATCTGTTGAAGGAGAAAAGGGAATGGAAGAGCGGATAAATAGTATCAGTCATATTAGTGGAGGTGTGCTGGGGATTTAGCTCAGTGGTTCCGCCTCCTGCCTTGCAAACACAAGGACCTGAGTTCAATCCCCAGTACCCCAAAAAAAAATAAAAAATAGTGGAGGAAATGACACAATTCTTAATTCCTTTCCTAGAACAAAAAGACACATAGACACTGACTTGGCAAGCTCTCTTTGGTTTGCTTGCTTTTTGTGACACACACCAGCTGGTAGGGGGAGAGGCAGTAGCCCCGGAGCATGATGGGTGCCTGTGGACTCACCTAGAGTAAAGCATGTTGCAGGGGGAGTCACGGGACGTTTTCCTTTGAGGTTTGAGCTGCAGTGACCTGGAGTCTCAAACTGAGGTAGAGGTTGAAATAAACTCTTCCCATTTATTTCATTTTGCTTAGAGCACAGTTGAGAGTGCAAAGCGTTTCTTGAAGAAATTTAAGCCAGGAAAGTGGATGATTCAGTATAACAATCTCAATCTGAAGACACCTGTTCCAAGGTAAAAATGAAATTTTCCTGACTTAGAACTTTGTGGGTTTCTTTCCACTGAAAGCATATCCGTTGGAGTGGCAGCAGGGGGGTGTCATCACTGGTGTGGGATTAAATTCATTGAGCAAAAATTGATACCTATTTTCTGTGTTTTTAAAGTGACATTGATATCTCACGGTCTTGCAAACCAAAGCCCATTGGTAACCTGGCTCGAGAAATTGGCCTGCTCTCTGGAGAGGTGGAATTATACGGGGAAACAAAGGCCAAGGTCCAGCTGTCAGCGCTCGAGCGCCTAAAGCACCAGCCTGATGGGAAATACGTAGTAGTGACTGGGTATGGTGCCTGCTCTTGTTGCCTGTTCAGTCTTATCATGCATCCTCATTGTTACCACCAAGGGTCGCATTTGCACTTAGCACACACCGGTGGTGGTGCCTTTGGTTTGGTGTTGGCATTTTCTATGTACTTGATCTTTTTTTTTTTTTTTTTTTTTTTTTGAGGCAGTCTTACTATGTAGATTGAGCTGGCCCTGAACTCACTGTGTAGCCCAGGCTGGCCTTAAGTATGCAGTGATCCTCCTGCCTCAGCCTCCCAACTGCTGGGATTACATTTATGTGCCACCATACCAGGCTCCACCCATTTAATCTTTATATAGAAATCCTTCAGAGATGTGGAGAGTGGTCACATTTGTCCATCTAGTAGGTAGAAGAGCTCAGTTTTCAGATGGAATCACTTTTTTTAATAAACATAACATTCATTAAATAGATCTCCCGAAGATTCATTTTTATTGCTGTGTTAGCTTTTTTTTTTTTTTCTTTTGTGGGTCTTGTGGGTGGAACCCAGGGCCCTGCACATGCCAGGCAAGTGCTCTACAACTGAGCTACACCCCAGTCCCAAAAGTTAGTTTTTGAGACTATAAACTGAGAAGTTATAATTATAGTATCTGACTAAAAGGTCAAATGGCAAGTATATTTGTTCCTTACAGTGAAAAGAGCTAAAATACATTGTTTTGTTTAATTATTTTGGAAATTTCAACTAAGACTCAGAAAAGATCTCTTTCAAGCTTTTGATTTTCTCAGTATTTAGATTGAGTCATTCTCTAGAGTCTGCCAGGCCTAACTTAGTGATTTAGATAAACTTAATTCTGAAAGTAAACCTCTTCCTCTTTTGGTTTCATCTAAAGAATAACTCCAACACCCCTGGGAGAAGGGAAAAGTACAACCACAATTGGGCTGGTGCAAGCCCTTGGTGCCCATCTTTACCAGAATGTCTTCGCGTGTGTGCGACAGCCTTCTCAGGGCCCCACCTTTGGAATAAAAGGTACTCGTGGGGCTGAGCCTGGGTCCCCAGAGGGCACCTGCCTCTCCTTCAGTCCTCCTAGACCCGCTAAGCCCATGAATGCTTATGGGGTCTTCCACTTACTGATACCACAACACTCTACACCCCCCATAGCAACACACTTGGTAGAGACGCATCAGATCAGCCCACTCTTGTTTCTAGACACTGCACAGAGATACTCCGGGATTGGTAATAGGTAGCCGGAGGTACTTTTATTTGACCCTAATAGTCCACTATCACAGTAATGATAAAGGTAATCATAGCTGCAGATTCATGCTCACAGTAGGCAGAGACAAGCCTCACAGATGTCTCCCTGTTGGGAGTGAAAAGTGCCTACCTCTCTGTGTAGGCTTGGTGCTGAGTATTATGCTAAGCAGCTGATGCATATTCTTTTTTTTTTTTTTTTTAAATACTGGGGATCGAACTCAGAACCTTGCACTTGCGAGGCAGTCATGTGGCACTGAGCTAAATCCCCGGCCCAGATGCATACTGTTCTGTTTTGTGCTCCCATGTGAGATAGCATTATTGTCATTTTACAGTAGCAGCAATGGGACTGCATTGTGAACTTGGTCAAAAGCACCATTAAGTACTGGACCAGCTGCACCAGTTATTTTAACCTCTACCCAGATTTTGAGGGATACAGTGATGTTCACGTTTTTTAATTAAAGTTATTTAAATTAATTATAAGAAGTTCCTCCAGCTAGTTCCTGTTTGCTTGGTAACAGGGTATCCCATTCTGCTCGTTCCAGTAATTGCTGTGAATGTTGACACTGCGCACGCCTTGTCCTACGAACTGTATAAATGTGATGACTTAGTCCTGCATTTGATTTGGTCCTAACAACCCCCTTTGACTCCAGAATGAGCCTTTTGCTTGTGCTGCTAAGCTGACTCATTATTCTCTTTTCCCTCTTACTACAAAATACCTCACAAAAATAAAACCCCCACTCCAGGGTGACATTTATCGCACTGGGCACTTCGGACTGGCCTTTTGTTGATGGTCCAAGTGGGCCATCGGAACTCACATACGTCACCTATGCAGGAAGAACTGGAGTCTGTGTTAGCGTGTGTACCTTAAATACTCCTTGCCTTCTTTTTTTTTAAGTCAAAGAAGGCTTATGAGAGTAGGAAATTGAACAGGCTTGCCTTTATGTAACTGTCAGCTGGGTCTTTTAACATGTTAGGAATCACAGGGAATCTTTTCTAAAGATAATGAGTAGGTATATGTGTATGTGTTCACAGTTTTGTCATTTAGACTCGAATTTCAACTGAGAGACTATTCAGCAGGAACAAGATCAAGTGTTTTAGCATGGTAAAAGAAAATTAGAAAACAATCAAATCTGTCCAAATGATGGTACAAAGTAAACAAATAATCTGCTTAGTGGTTACAGAAATCATTTTGCTTGACAACACTTAACATGAGTCCCTACCTTGGCCTGTCCTGTAGGTGGTGCTGCAGGAGGTGGCTACTCCCAGGTCGTTCCTATGGAAGAGGTAAAGTAGCCCGTGATGTGGTAGTCTGAATCCTTTATATAACTTCATTATAGCTTTTTTTCCTCCAGAGATTAACTTGTTCTTTAGAAATCTTAGAGGATAAATGGCTCATTATTCAGCAAAAACAAAAACATTTTAATTTGTAAACTTGTAATGGAACTTGGTTCAAAAGTCTGGGTTTTGGTGAGAAGGATCATTTTAAGCAAGTGGTCAAATGAAACGTGATATTGAGAAGCACCAACACACAGTGAACTCAGAGTACTGACAACAGGAATGGGAACAGTGCATGGACACACGGTACACTCCTCACTCACTGGTTAAGGAGTATTCAGTGTGGTTTCAGTCGACTTCAGTGGTGGGGCCTTTGTGACCTCCAGTTCTGTGTTTGGGAGGAGATGCTCCCAAGGGTGGACAGCCCCTCATCTGTGGGGTCCACTAGCCATACTGCCACCAGTACTGCAGTGGTGTTAACGCAGGAGACAACGTGCCTGTAGTAGAAGGAGGGTTGGAAAGATACAGAGCAGCCAGGAGGCTGATGTGACTTCTGTTCTTCTGCAGTTTAATCTCCACCTCACTGGTGACATCCACGCCATCACTGCAGCTAATAACCTCGTTGCTGCGGCCATTGATGCTCGGATGTTCCATGAACTGACTCAGACTGACAAGGTAGGGTGCTGGGGGCTTTGGAAAGGGCTGGGGCCCTCAGGTTAGTGTTGGTCCCTTGGATGCTGATGCAAGTAGCAAGGCACTTGGAGCCCTGTCGTCTAAAAGCCCTTTTCCTGCTTTTTCTTAAGGCTCTCTTTAATCGTTTGGTACCATCAGTAAATGGAGTGAGGAAGTTCTCTGACATCCAAATCCGAAGGTTACAGGTAAGGTTTTTCCTTCTCTATTTGTGACATTGTATGGAATTTGGTGATGGATAAGGAGGTAAACTCTCCTCGGAGCAGCTTATTTTGGATCCAGTTGCATCTATACTTATAAGTGATATAAACGGCAAGGACTGGTGGTAGTGGTTATCTCACGTTTATTTGTAGTTATAAGTTTTTAGTCTTGGAATAAACACTAACCACCTGCCCTCAGCTAAGGAGAGAACTGATGCTTCCATTATGATGTGGATAAGAGTCAGGATAGCTAAAACTTGGAAACAACCCAAATGCCCATCAACTGGAGTCTGGATAAATAAGATGTGGTTTTTCTATAAAGTGGAGTACTAAGCCATAAAGAAAGAGAAACTAGAGACATTTATAGCTAAATGGATGCACATTGAAGCCATACTAAATAGGACACACTTGAGTAAATACCCGATAGTTTCTGCGGTGTGAAAAACTGAAAGTGTAAATAAGGTTCAAATGGTTAATGGATAGTGTGAAATAGGAAGAAAATGGCTAAAGGGGAAGGGAAAGGAAATAAGGGAAAAGAAAAAAATGTGAAAAAATGGAAACAAAGTCTTAGTAAATAGGGAAGGGTGTATGGGAAAAAATAAGAACCAAGGACTATCATGTAAAGGTACAAAACCCCAATGATAAATGTAACTACTGTTTGCTTTAAATGTACCAATAAACTTAATGGGGTGGCAGAAATCCTGGGTGCGAATCCCAGCACTTCAAAAGAAGAAGGATCAGAATGCCATTGTGCCAACATATACGGCTTTGGAGTTTGGATCCCTGTTCTTCCCGCATTTGGACGTCATGCACCTTTGTAATATGACATGTCCCAAGTTTATTCACCTGTAAAATGAGTGTGATAATATTTCCCCTGCTCTGCTTAGATAAGAGACTGTGTCGAAATGTCAAGGCGGTGATGGCAAACCTTGTAGAATTTTGAATGAGACAAACAACCTGCTGTGGCACATGTGCCACAGGCTCCCTGCCACTGGGTTCAAGTAACAACTACTTCTATATTTTATTTGAATTTCTATGTCAAATATATACTTATTAAACATGCACTAAACCACAGGAGCCAGAAATCCCAGTCCCAGGTTTTTATCCAAGAGAAATGAAAACTTGTTTTCACACAAGAACCTGAATAATAAGGCTCTCTAAGAAATCTCCCCAAATTGAGAATAAATTAAATGTTCTTCCGTGAATGAATGGTTGAGCTGTGGTATTCACAGAAGGAAAGGAAGTGAGGTACTGCTACATGCAATAACTTGACTGTCAGAGGCATGCTGGCTGAAGGAATCTGGTCTAAAGGTTGTGTGCTGTACGCTTTCGTTTGTTACCTCTTCAGTAAGAAAGCTTCAGTGAACAAGCATGCAGCAGGTGCCGAGAGTTTCGAGTTACGGCGGGGACTAACTATAAAGGAATAGCCCAGGGAGGTTTTTAAAAATAATATTCAAAATTAAATTTATGTGGGGCCGGGGATTTAGCGCAGTGGTTCAGCTGCCTGCCTTGCAAGTGCAATGATCTAAGTTCGATCCCTGGTACAAAAAAAAAAAAAAAATTAATTAAATTTATGTGTTACTTTACTGAAGAAGAAAGGAAATTTTAATATTCGTTCTTTAGACAGCATCAAACATATAAGTATTTAATATATGGTTTATACTGCTTATTATCAATAGCAACTCTACTCCCTTTACTTTTAATTTTTTGTAACTTTGTATCTTTATATTTGGATGCCACACAATAGTACATGGAGTTCCCCTTTACCCGTGTTTATACTCTATTGCTTTACAATTCTTTGCAGGTTTTATTTATTTGTTTTTGGTGGTACTGGAGATTGAATGCAAGGATTGTGTATACTAGGCAAGCACACTACCACTGAGCTCCATCTCCTGTCCCGTGCTTTACAGCTCTGTGTGTATGCATTGTGTGTGTGTGTGTGTGTGTGTGTGTGTGTGTGTGTGTGTGTGTGTGTCTAATTTTTTACACCAGACATATTCTGTGAGGCAGCAAAATATCATGGAAAAAGCAGAGGACTTTTGATTTTACCTTTGCTGGTGAAATTTTCTGTTAGGGGGAGGAGAAAAGCTCTAAGATTTTATCCTAAGGTAAAGCTCTTAAGATTTTCCCAGGGTAGAGTACCCCTTGCAAGGACAGAACTAGAGCCTGGGCTTCCTGCCCCTGTGTCCTATGTCATGAGTGTTGTGAGTGTGCGCAGAGAGCCTGGTCAGGCACATGCTGTAACAGCAGTTTCTCAGCAGGGTGACTGTGGGCTTTGCTGACTTCTGTGAGCAGTGTCATGTTCTCGCCTAATGGGCTTTCTGATCAACAAATCTGTGGCCAGCTATAGAAATACATCTATAGAAAAACAGGTCCTTGTAGCACAAGAAAGAAACTGCCACAGAGTAGGTCTTCTAGAGCCCACTCAGTAATTATCCTGAGTTAGAAGAAAAGAAGAAAACCTTCGTTTATGGGATTTCCATTTTAGGATGAAACTTGAGTAGACACTTTAAAACAATAAAATTTCCAAATTCTGTGAGGAGGAAAATAGAAATCCTTTTTGGGTCTTTCTTTTGGAACAGTGACAATTCAGCAAAAGTATAGTGCTATGTAAAAGGCTTGTAAAAGATCTTTACATTGATTTTTATTGATATTAATTTCCACTCAACCTGCCTACATTTATTTATCGATTTTGTGGTGCTAGAGATTGAACCTCCATTGCACATGGTAAGAAATCTGCCCCTGAGGTATAGCCTCAGCCCCTCAAATTTTCCTTAAAGTGGGCTTCTTGTCTGATTAAAAATCTTTGTCTTGGTTGGAGCACGTGCGCATGAGGCACTGGGTTCAATCCTCAGCATCTCCCCACCCGCCAAAAAGCCTTTGTATATTGCTTTTCCTTTCGGTATATTTTGGAGTGAGTTGGGGCCTGGATCTGTGTCTCAGAACACTTCTTGGTCACTGTGCTTGTTTAGGACTGAGCTGAGGGAGACGCCTCCGATGTGTGGCCCAGTTAGGGACAGACGTGTCAATAATATTATCATTGTATCAGTGTGAGTGAGCAGTAAACCCTGGTCTGTCGAGGAGACCACAGTTTTCCCTTCTGAATTTACAACAGTTTGCATTTCCTAGAGGAGACTCCATCTGGAGATAGAGGTTACATTTTTAAAAAATTGTTATGTTTCTGTTTGTTTGTCTTATGTTTTAATTTCCTACTTCTTCAGAGACTAGGCATTGAAAAGACTGACCCCACCACACTGGCAGATGAAGAGATCAACAGATTTTCAAGACTGGATATTGATCCAGAAACCATAACATGGCAAAGAGGTACCAGATCCGCATGCACATCCCGTGTGTCTTAGTGATAAGGCACAGCCCAGACCCTCCGGGCGAGTTATTCAAAAGCTTATGGGTCAGTATTTTCACGGTTAAGGCATGTCCAAGACGGTGACATTGTTTTTCCTGCTGCTTCTATCTGTGTCTTCCTATTGGCTGTCATCAGTTTCTCTTTGTTGGAAGGGTTGAACATTTTGCTGTCTATTCAGTGTTGATTGAAAAGAGGGTGGTTTCAAGGAAGTTCATGCATTAACCAAAACTAACGTTTTTCAAGTTTCATTTTATGCAAAAAGTTTTGGTATCATGAAGTAGAGAAATTATGTTTAATCGCTTCTTGAATCATGTGTGCCCTTTATTCTCAGAACTTTTGTGTGGCATCCAGTAAGTTGGTTTTGCATCAGCTTGCTTAACCATTTTATACCTCATTTTAGTGAAGTCTCATAACGAATTAGGTGGCCTTCGAAGTTTCAGTACACACCAGTTTACTGCGTTGCCTGGCTTCTCTGTCATATGTTGCTTTTCTTTATGTGCATTTAGCATGGCTTAGAGTTTTATTTTTTACCAACAGTGAATCCATTTTATATAATTGCTGAGAAGAAATTGTCATCATCATGCAGAATGCAGCTAAAGGCCAGTACACTGGCTGTTTTTGTTATTTTTATTGGCATGGCATCTGTTAATATCTAAAACCAGACTGATATTTCACCCTTTGCCTCAATAGCTTTAAACAAATGGTATAATATTTTTTAAGGAATAAGCTAAAAAATCTACCTTGAAAATTTAGTATCTCATTTACTTTTCCTTCAATTTGTATCTAATTCATGGTTTTCCAGGAAAGTAGAGACAGGACCCCCCCCACACACACCCCTCTTCCAAAAAAGGATCACATCTATTAACTGGCTATGTTATACAGAAAAAAAAAAAAAATTCATAGGGAACTATATACTATATTCTTTGAAAACTAAGGATTGGCTCCACTGCTACACTGTATCTTTCACTTCAGAGAGAGTATGTGTGTGTGTCTGGCTGGCTGGCTGGCTCCCAATGCTATAGAGTACTCTGTTTTTGGTGTTTAAATTATTATCACATTGAGGGGTGGGTCTGGGGATCGAAGCAGACTCATGTGTGAGGCATGTGCTCCACACTGTAGAGTGCTTACGTGGCGTGTGAGGCCCTGAGTTTGATACCCAGCACTCCCGGGGAAATGCTTCTCCTCTCTGACCCCTTTAGGTTATTGTCCATCTTTGTTTGTTCATTTGTTTGTTTGTTCCTTTTGTGTTCTGTTGTTGTTTGGCATTTCATACTTAAATGGGTACTCCTGTTTCCGCTCTATCCTCATACTACTCTCTGTATTTCATTTCTGACACCAGATATCCAGGTTTTTTTCTCCCAGATCAGTTCAGTTCAGTTCTGCAGCAGGTACTGCCTGGGTGTTCCGTGAGTAAACATAAGTCTCACACTATTTGGAGCAGACCCTTAACTATGACAAGACTGCCCTGCTCCAGATGTCAGTCCCAAGTCCAGGTTGTCACCTCTCCTTCCGACCAGCTGGCTATGGATTGGCCTCTTTGGTCGTTTGGTAAACCTAACCCAGTACTCCGCGGGGGGATGTTTATTGGTTTATGATGAAAGCTGCAGCTCAGGATTAGCTAGATGGAAGGCGCCCATAGGGTATGTCACCCTCCCCGTGTAAGACTTAAAGTCTCACTTTTACTTCTGGAGCGTGAACAGCCAAGAGACCTCCAGGATGCTGAGCCTAAAAGCTCAGCGAGGCTCCAGGAGCTTGTCGGACAGCGAGAGTGACCCAGGAAGGAACACATCAGGCTGGTTGGCAAATAGACCTTTATCAGTTTGGCCAGACGGCACTCCCAGAGCCAAGTAGCTCAGAGAGGCAACTAGCTCAGAGTCAGAGGCCATTTTATATAGGGCTAAGGGGGGAGTTTACACTAGAAACTTACAGGAAGGGGACAAAGGCAAGTGGTCATCATACTCATGATCAGCAGATCGATTACCCATTGTTTTATTTACAACTTAGATTGTGGTGTCTAGAATATTCAATTATGGGCAAGTAAGGAGTGGAGTGATTTTTTTGGGGGTCTCTATGTTCATTACAGTTTTATTCTAGTTCCTCAGCTATTCCCAAGCAGTTACCTAATAATTTACAATTAATCATTAGTTATCCTGTAAGGGGTGGGGAAACAACAGTCTCTGGGTCATTTGCTGGTCAACATGGAGTCGTTCTAGTTCAGTTAGGCTCTTACACCAGTGGCTCAATGTTTTCACCAGCTTGGAAGCTCATCAGATCTTTTTATTCAAGGGTTTTCCTGCATCTTAGTCTCCCTCCCCCAGTCTTCTTCCTGGGGTTGCTACATGGGGCTGAAACTTCTAGCCCTCTAATCATTTGGTCTTTCTGTAGATCAGGCTCCTCTAGGGCTGTCAAGGAATTTATGTCACCTCATTAGCATGACTTCAAGTGTGCTCAAAAGGGGTTTATTATGAGGAACATGACACTCCTATTGCCCTTAAAATTCCAGGTATTCTAGGGTCCTTGTGCCAGGGAGCCAGGACAGAGATTCAGTATTTCTCCTATTATACCACACATACAAAAACCAATATTGTAGGATAGACTGAAATATTAACAGGACTTAGTACTGGTAGGTGGGATTAGGACTGGTTAGTTGGTTGATCTATGCCATGTTTTCAGGGTTATATAATTAGATAGCTCTTTTGTCATCAGAATAGAATGTTGTAAAGGAAAGGCCTGGCATGTTTTGAAAGGCATCTGCACTTGTTCTAAGTTGATGGCTGTGTGTTTCCCTGGGAGGTGTGAGGTCCTTGAGGTCCCACCCCCCAGAACAACACAAAGTTCAGCCTTTTGAAAAGTAGATTGTTCTTTTTGTTTTTGTAACACTGACTATGCTTTAAGATAGATTATAGATTTCTAATTAATTGTTTGAATTCTCTAGAAGGAATAATCTCAGCCACTCCATGTTTTTTTGTTTTAAAAATAATTCATACACATGGTATGTGAATGTGATTTTTTTAATCCCTATTTTAACTTTGCCATCAACTAATATTTGAAATCAAATTATTACTAAGCATTAAATTAGATTTATTGCTCTAAAACTTTGTTGCTTCCTTTAGCTTTAGGGTCTTTTTGTACTAAAAATTATTCTGTATCCTCCCTTCTGTTTTAGTGTTGGACACCAACGATAGATTCCTGAGGAAGATCACAATTGGGCAGTCTCCAACGGAGAAGGGTCACACTCGGACGGTAACTATCTTCTTCCTCAAGTAAATCAGTCTGTGAACTAGAGCTGGCTGCCTCTCTCCTCCTCCACCCTCTCGTACGATTGCTACTGCCAGGTGTTGTTCTGCCTTCTCCCTTTTAAAATGGAAGTGAGTAGGTGTGGTATTGAGCACTCCTGACAGCTTTTGCAATAAATCCCATGTGTCACCTGTGTGTTTTTCCCCTCCGGCATTTTTTCCTGGAGGTGGAGAGCCCCAAGTGAACATCCTTGCATATAAATGGATGAAAATCACTTTGCTTTTGTAATCATTTGGCAGTATATCTCTTCAGTGAAGAGCTTCTGTGTTGTCCCTTGTATATTAGGAAAACCATAACCTCAATTCCAAGCAGCCTATGTGAGGATAAAATATTTATTAGCTTACTGTCATACTAGAAGATTAACTTTTTTTTTTTTTTTTTTTTTTTGGTACCAGGGATTGAACTTGGGACCTTGCACTTGTGAGGCAGGTAGTAGAACCACTGAGCTAAATCCCTGGCCCTGCTTTTTAAAATTGACCACTTGCAGTCCTGCAGTAATTAATTACCAAGTTTTTTTCTTTGGGAGGATTATTTTTATGAAGTTCCTTGTGTAGTATTCTACTGTTGCCATTCTTTTAAAGTATTCGTTTAAGCCTTTGATGCCAAAAAGGATGATTTGCAATTCACACTTCCATTTTAACACAGTTTTGTTCTTTGTTCTCCCTGCCTCCAGGCTCAGTTCGATATCTCTGTGGCCAGTGAAATCATGGCTGTCCTGGCTCTCACCACTTCTCTAGAAGACATGAGAGACAGACTAGGAAAAATGGTGGTGGCCTCCAGCAAAAAAGGGGAGCCCATTAGCGCTGAAGATCTGGTGAGTACCCCACTCGTACACTAGGCAGGGTGACACATTGGTGCCCACTGCCCTGTGGTCTCTCGGTTATTACTGATAACAAAAATTGTGCTCTACTTAAGATGTTGCAATACACTCATCAATTCAATCCAGTTTTGCTAATTACAAAATGACTATGAAATCTGTAAAAAGTACTTAATAGTGATTATAACGTGGTATGCTCCAGGTGATTTGAGGAGTCTTCATCCTGCAAGTCTCTCCATGAGCTAATGTGTGCCTTGAGTTTGCAGTGAATGCGTGAAGGCCAAGTGAGCCTTTTCAGTAGCCGCGTTTGGAGTTAGCCTGGGTCCCTGGCCATGACACTCAGCTTCTTGCCTGGCGGCCTCTGGTCAGTGGACTTGTTGGCATCATATCCACGCTGACACCTGCCGCTGGGGAACACATGAGCCAGTTTGGCTGATGGTCCTACTGGGCTGGCTCTCTACGGGGTTATGCCTGAGCTCTCTATGGTAGAGTGAGGCTTAAAAAGAGGATTTTTATAGATCATTTTTTTTTAAACCCTGTTTGTGTTGACACATACTAAAATAGTTGGCCTGTGATAGTGGTATGGCAGATGAATTTAGAAAAAGAAGAAAAGATCAACTTTCTGTTTCACAGTTAATGCGCATTTTAAAATTTAACACCTAGCCCTTAAATTTAAAAATTTATTAATACTGAATATAAATGGGAACCATTGCTTTATCTGTCTTTTCATCAGTTTGTTCTGCTATGATTAGATGACTTAAAAGAGGGGTCTGTTATTTAAGAGTTATTGAATTACAGGCTAATGTTTTAGTTCCAGCTTTGGGAAAAATATATTGAATTTGGTTTGTACACATTTCTGGCCAGATACCAAAGTTACAAGTAACAGCTTAGTCCAAGAACTAGCATTTCTAGTGCCCTAAACTAGTCTGTGTGGATTCCCCGCATCACTCCCTGGCAGAGCTCAATTGAGATGATTGTTTCAAGGACTACATGTTTTTTCAGAAATTGTATGTATTATTTTCATTCTTCTTTTTCCAGCTTAAAATAACTGGCAGCTTCCACATACATATGGGGGGCGGGATGAGCGGTCTAGTTCTGATGAAAGTGCCATTTGGTCCAAGGTGACTAGACTGGCGAGACCCAGGGTGTGGAGTGTCGGTGTTCGTGCTAGGAGCTGAGCCTCGTGTTTGTGTTGTAGGGGGTGAGCGGTGCGCTGACTGTGCTGATGAAGGATGCGATCAAGCCCAACCTCATGCAGACGCTGGAGGTGAGTAGAGTAACCCTGCCTTCCCAAGTTGGTTTGCAGCACTCCGAGCACAGTGGCTACGAAGGACACTCTCCTTGTGTACTCGGAGACCTCTCTTCTCAGCTTTTCTCACAGTTGTGACTGGAACAGTACCGAAATATTAAAAAGGGGGCTTTGTCTTTTCCCTCTGGAAAGTTTGCTCTCGGATTGCAGCTAAATCCCACGTGCCGTGCTGTGTGATTCCATTTTGAAGCCGGCTGACAGCTTCGCTCACGCTGTCCTCACTTCCGCAGGGGACTCCAGTGTTTGTTCATGCTGGACCGTTCGCCAACATTGCTCATGGGAATTCCTCCATCATCGCCGACCGGATCGCACTCAAGCTTGTGGGTCCCGAGGGCTTTGTGGGTGAGTGTTGCTGCGTTGCTCAGCTGTTGTCTGTGGAGAGACTGCATTTTTCTTTTAAGCTCAGGGCAGTTGGGATGGCATTTTTACAGTTACTCTTTCTTTTCCTTATAGTGACTGAAGCAGGATTCGGAGCAGACATTGGAATGGAAAAGTTTTTTAACATCAAATGCCGGTATTCTGGCCTCCGCCCTCACGTGGTGGTGCTTGTCGCCACTGTCCGGGCTCTTAAAATGCACGGAGGTGGCCCCACGGTGAGGAGCAGGGGGTGGAGGGGTCTGCTGACCAGGAATGTCCTGGAGGCTCGCAGGAAGTCGGATGACTTATGCCTGTGTCTGCGTTAAATTGCTCTTATCCTCATGATGGAGTGCCAAACGCAAAGATGGTCAGGCGGCTGCTTATCACCCACAGGCATGTCATTTCAGGAGGGGCAAAGTCGGCGAGGAACACACCTAACAGTATCTCAGCTCCTTCGAGGACATGTCCTTGCGACACTCCATTATGTCAGCGTGACTCCCACCTTCCTTCTGAGTAGTGACTCTGGCAGCCAGCTCACCGTGTAGTTGCGGCAGAAGTGGGCTGCTGGAGTGGCCTGTGCTGGACAGGGCCCCTGACAAACGGCAGCAGGAGCATGTGGGTCCACTGGGGTGATGGAGAGGAGAAACAGAGGTCAGGCTGGCTTATCCTCAGCTACAGCCTGGGCTCTGTGTCTTCCCGAATTCCTACCACCTAGAAATTACACTTATTCTAGCATTTAACATCTCTTCTTCAGCACTGACATTTAAAGACATGGTGCTAAGTTTTCAGAAGTCACTGAAATTAAATCCCTGTCTTTCCTCACCTACAGAATAAAAACTGTTTTTTAATGGTAGTGACCAGCCTTTGTTCTAGTACAGTAGTTCTTGAGTGTTTTGGCTTCAAAACCTCTATACTTGTGAAAACTATTGAAGGCTTTTGTGTATGTGAGTTATTGTTACTGATACTCAGTATATTAGAAAGAACTGATTTATATGTTAGCAAAGGAACTTTTTAAAATGAAATTACTGTAGTTTTCACAACAAAATTGAGGCACTATCCAGTTTTCAGACCACTTCTATATCTGGTTACCGGGAGACAGCTACAGTCTCACCTTCTGCATCAGAGCCACTGTGATGTAACCTTTGGAAAATGCATTGTGCACTCAGAGAATAGTGAGAAGGCCAGGGGACCGCAGCCTTATAGGGAAAGTTTGACCCTCATGGGCCCCCAGACCACACTGTGACAGTGCCACCCTGATACGCCCCTGCGTGCCTCTCTGAGCTCTTGGTCTTAGTTGCCTTGACATCCCAAGCCCCTGCTGACCCAGGACTTCCTTTTCCCTAGCAGTGTGGGGAGGCTTGCTTTTCCTTCACTTCATAGCCAGCGTTCCTCTCTCACGCACCTGCAGCAGCTCACCCTTAGGCCTTTGCATCTTTCTTCCTTCCCTCAACCTTGTGGTCTAAATAGCCTCAATGCTGGGCACTGAGCGGGGCCAGCACCAGGAGGGGTCTTTGCACACACAGCCCTGTCGAGGAGCCAGACCTGCTCACATTACCCAGCAGGCGGGTAGCTTCCTGCCTTGCCTCCACATGGACTTTCTGGGTTTTCAGCACTGATCTTACTCCACCATCTGTTGCCCACAGTGGTCCACAGCGTCAGCATTTTGACTTTCTGCTCCTCCCAGTCTGAACATCAGGGCTGAGTCTCTGCCCAGATCAGGATGCAGGGCCCCGGTACCTGCACGGGGTACACTCACTGCTCAAGTGTTTAGACACTTCGAAGTGTACTCCGCCATAGAGAGAGAAAGCCCGTGTGCTTTTTTCCCCTCTGGCTGCCATTGTTCCCGAACCAAGGCTTGGGCTGGGTCCATGGAACAGTGCTTGAAACTGAGGCAGAGGCCACCACAGGCTGTATCGACACACAATCCAGATGTAACTGCTGGGCTGAGAGCTGCCTTTCCCATCATACCTTCACTTCCTCCCCACTGTTGTGCTTTTCACTGGCTGGGACAACTGCCCTGCCTTGAACACATTCCTTTCTTCCTCTGCTCTCACAGATCTGTCTCTCCTCACCTTATTTCAGGTTGCAAAGTTCCCCTACTCTGATCAGAGCAGTCCTTGTGTTGTGCTGTATGATTGGCTGCTTGTCCTAAGTCCTTAGGGCAGGAAACAACCTCACCTTGCTATGTATCCCACCAGGCATGCAGCCTTCTGCCTGTAACAGCGACAAGCACCATTTGAAGCTAGAATCTCATGGTAGGAAATGGACCTCACTTTGTTGCCTTTCCTTCCAGGTTACTGCTGGACTGCCTCTTCCCAGAGCTTACATAGAAGAGGTAACTTGGACTGTTTCTAATTACTTATCTCAGAAAGTGCCACGTCCTGAATCGGCATTTTTTAGCCTGGCCCGTAGAGAGATGCACTGAGGTATTTGTTACGCAGGGTTGTTCCCAGAGTACGGGTTGTAAAAGCCTACAGTATCCTGCGGACCCGCACAAGGTGTCAGTCAACCACCACCATGGACAAGTGACTGGTTCTCAGTAGGGCACTTTCACGCCCAGGGGACATTTGGCCTCTTCTAGAGACATTTTTGATTGTTACAGCTAGGAATTTCATGGGGGAGAATTCAGGAGGGCTGTTAGACATCCTGTGATGCATAGGACAGCCCTCCCCAGCTCAAAGTGTCAGTGGTGCTGAGATTGAGAGATCCCACCCAAGGCTAACACAAGTTTCATTGTCTTCCCTGTGTTGGTTAAATGTACCTGTGTTGGTGAATGAGTCCCAAATGCTATTCAAAGCAGAAGCAAGGGACCTTTTAAAAATAACCTTTTCTTTTGCAGATTTGTATTAAGAGCCAAGATGTAGTCAGTATCTTGATTGTTTCTCTAGAAGCATCTTCCATAGAGCCAGGGATTTAGCTCAGTGGTGCCACTTCCTGCCTCGCAAGTGCAAGGTCCCGAGTTCGATCCCTAGTACCAAAAAAAATTTTTTTTCCATAAACTGATGTGATTTAGAGCTTCAAGCAGAAGCCCAAGAACAATTCTAAGATCAAACCTTTTCATATTGATACTATTTGCCATCAAAGAAACATCTCCAGGGGCCGGGTATGTAGGTAGCTCAGTGGAGCTGCACCTGCCTGGCAAGCACAAGGCCCTGAGTTTGATCCCTGATACTGAGGAAAAAAAGAAAGAAGCAGGGAGGGAAGGAGAGAGGGAAAAAAAGAAGGAAGAAAGAAAGAGGGAAGGAAGAGAGAAGAAAAGAAAAGAAAGATCTGGAAGGATGGAAGGATCTCCAGGACCAGTTGGGGTGGTTACACAGTAGACAGGCACTTGGGTAAGAAGCAGGGTCAGCACCTGTCACTGTAGTGCAGTTTTTCTGCCCTTTTGGAGGCTTGTACATTATCAAGCTATACAGTGCAGGCTCCAGTGGAGTGTTTCAGAATTGGTTAGGAAAAAACTGTTGATTCCTTGAGTCTGCCTGTCTTCTGAGTTACGGTTTGCCTTTTATGGTCATCCGTCTGATTCATGCGTAGGAGGGGAATTCACAGTTCTGGCCCTCCTGCCACCCCACAGCCTTTCCTGGATCTAATTACAGTGACTGCCCCGAACCGGCCCAGCTGGTGTCTTCAGTTAAGAAATTCTACTTATTTAAATGATTCTTAGTCTTACATGTTAATTGGTTTTCATGTTACTAGGGGCATAGAATTAGTGCCCTTTAGAATATCAGATAAATCGTAATTTCCATTTACGGTTATTAAAGGAAAAAAGCATAATTACATTTATAATGAACCTTGTTTTCTACTTATAACCTACTTTTCCTTTGTGAGGGACTGTTTTGGGACCCATAGACCAACACTAATATTGCTAGGTTTTGCGTGTGTGTGTGTATGTGTGTGTGTGTGTGTGTGTGTGTGTGTATACCACGGGTTGAACTCGGGACCTTGTGCCTGAGAGGCAGGTGGCAGCATCACTGAGCTAACTCCCTGGCCCATTTGTATATATTTTTATAGGAGATGATTATATTTTTATTTTTTAAATACTCAATATTTTAAAGGGTATTTTTTTGGCAGTTCTAGATCTCAGACATTTTTTTTCTGGTACCAGGAATCAAATTCAGAACCTCATACTTGCCAGGCAGGTGCAGTACCACTGAGCTAAATCCCTGCCCCCACCTTAATATATTTTTAAGCTTATAATAACAAACTTTTTGTAAGAAAAAAAGAATAATTAAGCATTATAGAAATATGTGATTGAAGTTCCTTTAACAATTTGGCATATATCTCTCAACATTTAATTTAGCCAGGTACTAGGGATTGAACCCAGGGCCTTTGCACTAAACTACATCCCCAGTCTTTTTCATTTGTATTTTGAGATAAGGTCTCACTGAGTTGCTAAGTTATCCAGGCTGGGCTGGACCTTTCAGGCCTCCTACCTCAGCCCCTCAGAGTGCTGGGATTACAGGTGTGTGCCACCGTGCCTGACTAAAATAATTCTTGCATTATGCACATGTTGTTTATCCAAAACTAGAGTTAATTACACTGTCTATAGTTTCACAGCTTTAGTATGTTTTAGACAGACCCATGCTAACACAGGTTGTCACTTTGCATGACACCTGCAAATACTGAGTGTAGGTCTTACTTCCTTGGTCCAGTCCCCTGTTCAAGGTTAAGATCTGCAGTTTTCCAATGCTGGAAGCAGTGATGCAATAAACATACATAATTTGTTTCCTTAATGACTTCCCCTTCGAAAAGTTTGGTTCTTTTTTCTTTGGGTTTTGAGGTGCTGGAGATTGATTCCAGAGCCTTCTCACGCTGGCAAGTGTTCCAACACTGAGTTACACTTTCAGCCCACTATTTAAATGTATTTATTTATTTTTGAGACAAGGCTTGCTGTTGCCCAGGGTGGTCTCAAGCCCCCGGACTCCAGTGAGTGTGCCTCAGCCTCCTGCCAATGGGGACTGTAGATGTGTGTCACCAGCCGGTATTTAGTTATAATTATAAAGACAGCACTTGTCCTATTGAGAGCCCTGGAGAAGAAGGCTCGCGTTGAAGCCTCTGAAGTCTGCAAAGCATCGCTCATTTCTTACCTCTTCTGACAGTATTTACGGCTCCTGGGTAACAAATGCCTCTTTGGTGTCAGGCCCTGCACTCAGCTGCTTTTTGTTAAAAGGGCTTGTGTTGTACTGAAGAGTCTGTATTGTACCACATGAGTATATAACGTCTGTAAGCACACGGTACAGTGTAATTTAGGCAAGGCCACTAATCTCAAACAGCTGAGAAGTTATTAAGAAACAGTAGTGCTGCAGCATCCCCAGCTCTTCTGTGTTCTGGGTGACTGGCGTGTGGGCTGGAGTTAGCGCCACCGTCCTCTGCAGTGTTGCTCACCTGTGTGGGACGGTCAGCACGGGACCTGTTCTCTTTTGTGTTGAGTGCCTCTTCATCCCAACAGTGAGTATCTTCTGGCTCCAAAAGGCAGTTTCCCTTTGAAGAAAAGCTGTTTTTAAGTCTGCTCTCTCTGACTCCATAGGTCTCTCACTGTTGTTTTACAGAACCTGGAGCTGGTTGAAAAGGGCTTCAGTAATTTGAGGAAACAAATTGAAAATGCCCGAATGTTTGGTGTCCCCGTGGTAGTGGCTGTGAATGCATTCAAGTAAGTGCAGAATTTAAGAGGGGTGGGGGTGAGTGGGAAGCACTTGGAAATCTCCCTGGAGCTGCTTGCACAGCGCTGGGGTGGCTTCCCTTGTCCCTCGGGCTGCCGCTGTTTGATGTAGCCTTCAGGGTGGCCCCCGACATGTGTCACAGCCACCTCACCCCCACGCATCCAAAAACACAGAAGCTGGGGATTCAAGTTCTGTTTTGGTCTCATGAGGCCTTTTGTGCTGACAGAAGATCACAGGCTGTAGTGTCCGTTATTTGACTGGGTCTGATTGGATGCTGTCTTGACAGAGTTGAGCTCTTTGAGCCAGAAGTATTCCTGGGAGAACTTATGTGGGCTCTTTGGCATCGTAGTACTGGTTTGGGTTTTGTTACAGTGGCCTCACCACAATAGATGAGAAGCAAAACTTTAAAAAGTTCACATTTATTAATTCCCAATGGTGTGCTGGGAAGGCTCCAAGTTTTATTCATTATCTAAACATGACATCCCAGTGAAGTAAGTGCTGTGATTATTTCCATTTTCCCTGTGTGGAAACTGAAGCACAGAGTGTAACTAACTGGCCACCATCACCATATTGGCTACCGTAGACTGAGATTCAAAGCCAAGCAGTATTAACATTTACCAGTAGGTAACTCAGGGCTTTTAATGGCCTGAAGAAGAAATGCCCTTCCCTCCAGGCTTTAACAGGAAGCTGTGCCTTTCTAGGACAGATACAGAGGCCGAACTGGACCTCATCAGCTGCCTTGCTAGAGACCACGGAGCTTTTGACGCCGTGAAGTGCACTCACTGGGCAGAAGGGGGCAAGGGTGCTCTGGCCCTGGCTCAGGCCGTCCAGAGAGCTGCACAGGCACCCAGCAGCTTCCGGCTCCTTTATGACCTTGAGGTGGGTTACCTGCTGTATACAAAGGGCGGCAAGGTGGGGCGGTGGGGTTTCTGTGCGGTCACTTCTGAGGAGCCCATGTTTAGCAGCTGTAGCCTTGTAGTCCCACATGGCCTTGAGTCCCACATGGGCACTTTACACGACCACAGCCTGACTCGGCTCTGCACAGCTATCTCAGGGTCGTGGGTTACTGCTTACCTCCAGGGTAGGGGACCAGCAGGAATGCCTAGGAAGGCCTGTTCACATTGTAACTCTGAAAAGATCCTAGTACAAGTCCTTTTGCTGGCAGAGGGAGGGTCACGTGTAGAACCAAGTGTGTCATTGAATGTACCCTTTAACCTAAGGCGCTAACCAAGTTGTAGCAAATTGGTGAGTATATCAGGCTCAGAAAAATTTTGTTTATTTCTCAGTAATACGGCAGAGAAGTGTACTCCCAAGCTCACTTCCAGGTACCTAGAACCTACCTCAAGTGCAAAGAATTCCTCAGGTGCAAAATCAGAGCCCCTGAGCAGGCTTCATCTTTTTTCCATCACTGTTTAAAGTAAATTACATCTGTCCCTGCAGAAGCACTGTTTGTTCTTCGACACAATAAAGTTAGTTCAGAAAAAGGATGGTCAGATTGTAGGGTTGTATTTTATTTTCAGTTCTGTGTCTCATGTATTTCATCTGTGATGGGATATTACGTAGTCTGTCTATAAAATCTGAAGACTTTATTAGAAACTTGGACTATATGTTGTATTAATTTTGACTGAATTCTTTAGGCTACTTTTTGCCTTGGTTTTTACAAGATGATCATAGAGTTTGAAAAAAAGCCATAAAAGAATGGAAGGAAGAAACCCTATTACTCTTGGATTTTAAGATCATCTCATACCTCTTTGGTTCTTGCAGATACAAACTAACAGTTAATTAATTAATGTTCTCCCATTGACAGGGACATCTTTGGAGCTTTGATTTTACAGCTGGGTTTGAAAATCTAGTCAATCAGTAATCTTTCAGAAAATGCCAGAAATGTGACTTTGCCCACAAAAATCAAACCACTTCTAGGCACCCCCTTCAGTCCCCAGTCTTCCAAGGCAAGCAGAACGCCTGCAAGAAGGGGGTAGTGAGGATTTTATGACCCATTCTACTTGGAGCTTTGCTCTACTGGGACAAACAGGAAGCTGCCACTTTTCTTCTTGTTCAGCATCTGTTCAGTCATCCCTCTACTGAAGTGCTGCGGAAGTTCTCAATGTGCCCTGGCAGTTAATGAGCTCCAGTTATAAGATGCATACGAAAGCAATCTGTTGCATCTTTATAAAACCAGTTTTGATTATTCACTTCATTTGTATCCATTATACAAAGCTCCCATATAAATGATTACTGTTTAGTTAGAAACAGTTTTTATTTTTAAAGGTAGATTATTGTTCCTTTCAAAAAACAAGAGTTGGGCTGGGCATGGTGGCACACACTTGTGAGGCAGAGGCAAAGGATCACTGTGAATTTAGGGCCAGCTTGGGCTGCAAAGTGAGTTCAAAGCCAGCCTGAACTATATAGGGAGGCCTTATCTGAAAAAATAAACAGACAAACAGTTCAGTATATTCTTTTAGCTTTAATTGCTAGGGAGCAGAAAGCTAGATATATTGACTAATTTTCATATACTATTTATATGTGTGTTTATATATAGCTTACCTCTATATATGTCTGTATAGATAGGTAATAACTTTACCTTTGCAGGACATCTACTTAGCAAGTTTGGGGCATGGTATTAAAATGTTTCTGGGGGTGGTGGTGCATGTCTGTAATCCCAGCTCTTGGGAGACTGAGGCAGGAGGATCACTGTGAGTTTGAGGCCAGCCTGGGCTACATAGTGAGTTCAAGGCCAGCCTAAACACATAGCAAGACCCCGTCTTAAAAAATGAATTAACTTAATTAAATATTTCTAACCCAGTAAACCTCAGGCTGTTTGCCTATGTATATAGAAAACACTCAGTGGCCCTTGTGGGGATGTGGACCTGGAACAGGCCACATCTCTGATCCAAGTTCTCATGCATGTCTGGTCCCGGCTTCCCCTCTCTTGTGCATTAGCTCCCTGTTGAGGATAAGATCAGGATCATTGCACAGAAGATCTATGGCGCAGTCGACATTGAATTGCTCCCTGAAGCTCAGCACAAGGCTGAAGTCTACACGAAGCAGGTAGAACCTTGCTTGCTTTGTTCTTTCCTCCCCTTCTCAAAGTGCAGCATCCCCTGCTTTGCTCTTCTGGTGGCCGCCTGCTCCTCTCTGACATACGGGGTTTGGATTAAGTGGGCCAGTCCTTGATTCTTTGTCTACCCACATGTGATAGATGAATATGCAGAAAAGCCATGAGGAAGTAGGGACTGTTTTACTAAAATGTTCAGAACTCGTTTTATTCATATGTCTGTTAAGCTGGGGGATAGTGAGGTGGTGGTTGGTATTTAACAACTGTTCAGACAAATCAAAGAGCTTCTGTAGTCACATTTTATTGCATTTGTCCTCCCCCCGTTCCTCTCTCCCACCAGGGTTTTGGGAATCTCCCCATATGCATGGCCAAAACGCACCTGTCCCTGTCTCACAACCCAGAGCAAAAAGGTGTACCTACAGGCTTCACCCTGCCCATTCGTGACATCCGTGCCAGCATTGGTGCTGGTTTTCTGTACCCGTTAGTGGGAACGGTAAGTAAGGCCTCAAGAGAGGAGCCTGCTCATCTGTGTGTCTCATCTGAAAGGCACTGTGACACTGCCAAGCAAATGCCAACTTAATCAGAGTTCATGCTGGGGCAAAGTTGGAGTTAGGCCTATTATGATTAATCCTTTTGCTGTAGACCATACTCGTGTCAATTTAAGTGTAATGTTGTGAGCACTTTGGAGTAAAACATTCTGTTCCTCAGGGGTAGCTTGCTCTTGTTTGAATCTAGGATGGGCACCACTGACAGCTGGATTAGTACCAGTGTCCAGTCAGCCTCTGTACCCATGGGGTGTGCATGCAGAGTCAGTCATCTGTGGGTGGAAAATATTTAGAAAAGGAAATAGTGTCTGTACTGAACATGTACAGTTTTCCTTCTCTTTTTCCCTGAGTAATACAATTGTTCCCATAACATGTACACAGCAGTGGATATTGTAAGTAATCTAGAGGTAAAGTTCAGGTAGATGTATATAGGCTATATACAAATATTACATCATCTTAAGAAGCCAGAGCATCTGTAGATTTTGGAATTCACTAGGTTCTAAGCAGCAACCTTAGACATAGCACAGTCCTCCTAGGGGGCCTAGGAGTTAAGGACGGGTTCTAATGTCGAGGTCCAGAGTCCGACTGACAGGCTTAGAGCTTAAACCAGAAACTCCGGAGTTCACTGTTTTTGAGAATAGAATTTTCCCATTAAATGAAAATGAATGATGCATATATGAAAGGTATGTTTGCTTATTTACACTTCAAGGTGAGTGAGTTACCCAGTGCTTTCTTATAGATTTTATACATGTTAAGGGAGGAAGATTACTTATAGAGGGTTGCTTAGGATGCAATCACTGTTTGGATTAACATTGTCCTAAGGTTAATGTGGCCCTTGTGCCCAGTTTTCCCCTTAGATCTGCCCACTATGCTGTATCTATAGATTTCATTTATATTTAATACACAATTGAAACATTCAACTAAAGCACAATGAAAAAGGGCCGGGTATGTAGCTCAGTGCAAAGGCTCTGGATTCAATCACCAGTACTGCAAGAAAAAAAAAGTGGTAAGGTGGCATTGTGCAGTTGAAAGTACATGACATAAAACCCCAGTTTAGTTTTTTCCTCTGCTGTCTTTGGCCTTACACGGTACGAATGGCCTGAGCCCTGCTGCTGCAGCTTGCAGTGTGGACAACATCACCATGGGACAGCAGTACCCTCTGGGCCACTCCCAAGGGCAGGCAACTCAGCCTCATTGTGATGTTCGTTAGTCTGGAATTTGTAGAAATTCCCTTTAGGTAGGAATGTTAAACCATCTGTCTGCCACCTTGACTACTGAAAAAAACAAGTTCTCTCAGGAGAAATTGTCAGCAGCTACCAGGTGAAAGGGCACACTTTTCATATGTGCACGCTGAGGGTAAGCGTAGAGGTGGATGCAAAGCCGGAAGTGGTCAGCTGGCTCGTGCTGGCCTGTGTTCACAGACACGGCCTACCCAGTGCGAGACTCACTGAGAAGAGTACCCATCAGAGACTTTCCACTTCACCTTGGACCAAGACTCCACACAGAATCCAGTGACTCTGTCATTCTTAATCCTTCTGACACCTCCTAGTTGTTGGGGCCTCAGCAGGGCCAGGAGATTTGATTGCTGATGTATTAATTCAAAGCATGTTTTTTCAGAGTTTTATACAGTATCTAGGGGTGTGCGTGCGTGCGTGTGTACACATATCTTTTTTTTTCTTTCCTGATTATAAATAACCAGTGTTTGGGATTGGAGGGAATCCTTTTGGGGAAAGAGTAAAAATACTGAAAAATCCTACTCGTTGCTGTTTTGGGAAGCATCTTTAGTTTTCTGCCAGCATGCACATGGCCTGTCTGCATCACCAGGCAAATGTCCTTTGCCTTAGAACCCACGTGCTAGGTCTGACCACCTGATCGGTTCTCTCCTCTCCCGCTTGTCCCCACACCCAGTACTTCCTTATCTCTTACAGAATACAGGAATAGGAACCAGTTGTCACATCCTATAGCATATTTTTGAGAGTATTTATGAGGCAGGCAGCAGAACCACTGAGCTAAATCCCTGGCCCCAAGAGTATTTATGGTTTTATGTCAGAAACTAGGTTTTCTGGTGTACCAATGTTTCATGTTACCCAAGATGTCATCTTTTTTTAATGACATTTTTATAGTTAAGTTTTAGAAGTTCACCCTAAGCTGGTTACCATTCTAGGTCTGATTTGGAATCTGTGTATTCATTACACAGGGCATTGTTACCGATTAAAAATAGACAGGGCTGGGAATTAGCTCAGTGGCTCTGCCACCTGCCTCGCAAGCGCAAGGTCCCACGTTCAATCCCTGCTACCAAAACAAAAATACAAGTTTTCGTTTAGTTTTAGAGACCCTGTTGGACCAGGATGAATAGTGATTGTGAAACTATCTAGATGATACCTAGAAATGTCTCAGCCCAAGCTTAAGGATGTGAATTTGCAATGTCACATTGCCGAAGCAAAAATCACATGGGCACCTCCACCTCCCTAGCACCTGTCACTTCCTGTGACATTCAGTGACATAGAAGGCAAGAGTGATGCCTGGCGTTTGTGGGACCTGAAGGTTTTCCTTTGAGTTCATAACGGGATCAGTGACTGGATTTTTAATACATAACAAGAAGTGCTCCCACTTTATTGACAACTATAAAATGATGTTCTCTTTGATTAAAAAAAATCACTCTAGTGGGCCGGGGGTTTAGCTCAGCGGTTCGGTGGCCTGCCTTCCAAGCACAAGGACCCAAGTTCAATCCCCGGTACCAAAAAAAAAAAAAAAAAAAAAAAAAAAAACCAAAATTCTTTTTTTTTTTTTTTTTT